AGGGAGTTGAAGCTGTTCACTTGTGCTGGGTCAGTTCCTAGGTGGGGGCCACAAGACCAGATGAGCCAGTTTACAAGTCTCCAGCAAGTCCATCAGAATGCAGCATCCAAAAAATACCTCAAACACCAATCTTAGGTTTTACAATAGTAATGTTATCTGTAGGAGCAGTTGAGGGAGGTTGGTGATCTTGTGACTTCTAGCTGCATGACTTCTGAGTCATAATTTCTAAACTTGTGGCAAATTTGTTGGCTTTACAAACACAGCCTGGTTCCCAAGTAAGGAAGGAGTTTGTTTGGGGGAGAGGCTGTTATTATCTTTGTTTTGTTTTCTTTTGTTTTTTTGAGGACAGAGTCCTACTCTGCCGCTTAGGCTAGAGTGCAGTGGTGCCATCGTGGCCCACTGCAGCCTCGACCTCCTGAGTTTGAGCCAGCCTCCTAACTCAGCCTCCCGAGTAGCTAGGACTACAAGTGTGTGCACAACAACTGGATAAGTTTTTTATTAGTAGAGACAATGTCTTGCTATGTTGCCTGGGCTGCTCTTGAACTCCTGGGCTCAAATGATCCTCCCACCCCAGCCTCCCAAAATACTAGAATTATAAGCATGAGCCATCACACTCAGCCTTTGTTTTAAAGTCTTTGTTTTAAAGTTAAACTATAAACCACATTCTTCCCAAAATTAGGACAGGTTTGGAGATTAAAGGCAAGTTGAAGTCAGGTAGGTTCTCTTTCATTGTTATAATTTTCTCATTGTTACAGTTTCAGTCAAGACCCAGTACTGGCCGGGCACAGTGGCTCATGCCTGTAATCCCAGCACTTTGGGAGGCCAAGGTGAGCAGATCACTTGAGGTCAGGAGTTCAAGACCAGCCTGGCCAACATGATGAAACCCTGTCTCTTCTAAAAATACAAAAATTTAGCTGGGCATGGTGGCAGGCACTGGTAATCCCAGCTACTCAGGTGGCTGAGACAGGAGAATCATTTAAATTCGTGAGGTGGAGGTTGCAGTGAACCAAGATAATGCCACTGCACTCCAGCCTGAGTGACAGAGACTCCGACTCAAAAAAGAAAAAACCAGTACTTATAAATCAAGTAGAGTATCATAGTTGTTCTAATTTATTAAATATGTGTTCAGTCAGCATTATCCCTGTATGATTATGGCATGTTTAACTTAACTAAAAGTATAGGCATAGAGTATTATTATCATTCAGTTGTGTTTTTCAGTCTTAGGGGAGAATTTGGCCCATTTTGAATATGCTGTTAATTACGTAATGAGCCTTGCAATACAAAATTGAATATGAAATCACATAAAATGAATAAAAACTATAATTAAGGTAAGTAGTGGTAATGTTTTTTGGGTTTTCTGGTTTTGTTTTATTTTGTTTTGAGATGGAGTTTTGCTTTTGTCACCCAGGCTAGAGTGCACTGGCACAATCTTGACTCACTGCGGCCTCTGCCTCCTGGGTTCAAACCATTCTCCAGCCAATCTCAGCTTCCCAAGTAGCTGGGATTATAGGTGCCTGCCGCCATGCCTGGCTAATTCTTCTATTTTTAGTAGAGAGGAAGTTTTGCCACATTGGCCAGGCTGGTCTCAAACTCCTGACCTCAGGTGATCCTCCTGAGCACCTCAGCCTCCAAAATGCTCAGATTACAGGCATGAGCCACTGTGCCCAGCTGATAGTGGTAATGTTTTTTAAAGCAAAGTGAATTGTAGGCATTAAAATTAAGTTAGGCCAGGTACAGTGGTGTACACCTGTAATCCCAACACTTTGGGAGGCTGAGGTAGGCGGATGACTTGGCGTCAGGAATTCATGACCAGCCTGGACAATTTGGTGAAACCCCATCTCTACTAAATACATATTAAGAAAATTAGCCTGGCATGGTGACACACACCTGTAATCCTAGCTGCTCAGGCGACTGAGGTGGGAGGATCACTTGAATCTTGGAGGAGGAGGTGGCAGTGAGCCAAGATTACACCACTACACACCAGCCGGGGTGACAGAGCAAGACTCTGTCTCAAAAAAAATTATGTAATTTTTTAGGGTAAGTGTTAGGTACAAGAAATATATACCAAGAATATATATACCAAATAATGTTTGATATTTAATATTGAAAATTACATTAGGTTAGCAACAATTTCTTAGCACAGGTGATAAAGCTGAGAACCTAAGGTCTTTTATTTTTCTGTTTGCAACTTTGAAAAATACACGTCTTTTGTCACCTTTTAGAAGTAGAAATGCCTGAATAACTCCCCTGGTTTTTGTTTTGGTTTGTTTTTTGGGGATTTTTATTGTTTTTAAGAGTCACGGTCTTGCTGTGTTGCTCAGGTTGGCTCAAGCAATTCTTGACCTCAGCCTCACAAGTAGCTGGAACTGTAGACGTGAGCCACTGTGGCCAGCTACTCCCCTGTTTTAATGGGACATTGGTAATGAACCACCCTAGTAGTAGCAGCAGCAGCGGCAGCAGTAGTAGTGACCACCCTATTATTATTTATTTATTTAGTCTTAATTGAGACAGAGTCTTGCTCTGCCACCCAGGCTGAAGTACAATGGCGTGATCTCAACTCACTTCAACCTCCACCTCTTGGGTTCAAGCAGTTCTCCTGCCTCAGTCTCCCGAGTAGCTGGGATTACAGGCACCCACCACCATGCCTAGCTAGTTTTTATATTTTATAGTAGAAACAGGGTTTCACCATGTTGGCCAAGCTGGTCTTGAACTCCTGACCTCAGGTGATCCACCCGTCTCAGCCTTCCAAAGTGCCAGGATTATGGGCGTGGGCCACCATGACCTGCCTATTTTTTTTTTTTTAATTTGACACCCAGTAAAGACAATTAGAATCCAATCCAATAGTGTGCAGTATGTGAACCATCTCTGGTAACATTCACCTGAAAGTAAAAACACTAATAAGTGCCTTGATTGGTGGGGGTTTACATTCTAACAGTATTAAGTTGCTCTCCACCAAACTTCCTTTTGCTGCCTGCTTTAGGTCCTGTAAGCTCAGTGGAATTGAATCATACTCATTTAAATTCCTCAAAACCAACTAATACAACAAACAACCTTAATCTTCACTGTTGAGGAAAATTTAACAGAAGTTTATCCTGTAAACTTTTGAGCTCCTTAGAGCCTAAGTCCTGGCAATGTGATGATTTAAGGATTTTTTCAACCAGAGAATCAAAAGCTAAGAAATTCTTTAAGTTTTCAAAGGTATACTTTGTAGATTTTCTACTTATCTGCTGACTTTAGAGTTTAACATCTATGTTAGAATACAGTTTTAATATATTCTTGGACTTCTGTCTTCTGCATTTTTGTTCCTACTTATTTGGGTTTTCTGGGTTTTTTTGTTTTTGAAACAGGGTCTCACTCTGTCACCCAGGCTAGAGTAGTGTGATCATGGCTCACTATAGCCTTGACCTCCCCCGCTCAGGTGATCTTCCCACTTCAGCCTCCTGGGTAGCTGGGAATACAAGTACCTGCCACCACACCCAGCTAATTTTTTTAGTTTTTATAGAGACAGGGTTTCACTATGATGCCCAGGGTGGTCTCAAACTCCTGGGCTTAAGTGATCCACCTGCCTCAGCCTCCCAAAGTGCTGGCATTACAAACGTGAACTACTATACCTGGCCTTGTCCTACTTTTTGATGAAACTTCCTGTTGCTAGTTGTCTGATCTTGACTTATTCGAGACCTGCTTAAGTTGTCACCCAGCATCAATAACACTCTAGAATCCTAGGCGAGATTAGTTATTGAGGCTGGAAGATGTTAGGGAGAAGATCCATGATCTTTTGTATGTCAGAGTAAAAAAATGAAGTATTGCAAGTAACATTGACTCTACTAGGGCAGATTAACACCATCAAAATGGCAAAGAGCAAAATGTTTGAAGTTATATTGTGTTATGGAGGGCATGAGGGGTGTGGCCTACATTGTAGGTAGAAATATAAATTGTTAAGCCTCTTTGTGGGAAAAATTTGGTGATATCATTAAAATTTATTATGTACATACTGTTTATCCAATTAATTCCACTTTAGGAAATTATTCTACAAATATTCCTAAAACTATACAGAGTGGTTATTTGTTGCAATGTGTTTTTTAATAATATAAAACTGGAAACAATCCAAATGTCTGACCAGTAAGGGCCTGGCTAAATAAAATCTGATACAAAAGTATACCTGGTTAAAAAGAATGAGGAGCATTTGTAAGAACTGTCCCATATCAAAATAAAAAATGTACAAAACAGTCTTTATATGCTATTCTTTGTGGGAAAGAGATAGATATAATACTTGTGTATGTATTATATACATACTTGTATACTTAACATATAATTTCTGTATTTATACATTTTATATGTATGTATATTATATATAGTATATACTCTATGATTATATATATATAAAATATATATATATAATATATCTATATATATAATACACATATACCATCTCTGCAAGCAAGGAACTGCTGTTAACAGGGTTTGCTTTTAGAAAGGAGACCTCAGGAGCTAGGAGACTTACTTTTTCCTGTTGCATTTAGTATTATTGACATGTATTTGCTTATTCAAAAAATTATACACACACACACACACACAAAGAAACAACAAAAAATTATCAACTAAGGAAATGAATAGAAAATATTGTTTCATACTGAGTTCTAGAGAATCTAAACCTAAACCTCTGGATCCTAGAATAATTATGCCATACCATTATAGTTGTCTAAATGTCTCAGTTAAGGAAAATTTGCAGCCTGATTCAGAGCCCCCACCCTGAATTATCTTTGAATAATGAGCCTTGGAACTGTCTTCTAACATTCTGGCATCTGATGTAATTGTTGCTTCATACACATGGCAATTGGAGTAAGTAATTGTTACTTAGAAATAGCAGTTATGCATTTATGACATATAGTTGTGTTGAAAAAGGTTTAAACTGAAAAAACTAAACAATGTTGGTGACTTTTTTTTTACTCTCCTAGTACATAGTTTTTGATTACCATGCATTCTGATACATTTCGTTTTAGGCTCGAATGCTCATCACAGAAGAAAACCTGATGACCATTATCATTAAGACTTTTATGGATCATTTGAGACATCGAGATGCCCAGGGCAGATTTCAGTTTGAACGATATACTGCTTTACAAGCCTTCAAATTTAGGAGAGTTCAGAGCCTTATTTTAGATCTCAAGTAAGTTTTTGTTTCATTATTAAACCAGTTGCAACTTGTGGAAAGTCAATGTTTATGTTAATTGCCACTGTCGCTTTATCTTATTCAGGTATGTGTTAATTAGCAAACCAACTGAATGGTCAGATGAGCTGAGGCAGAAGTTCCTAGAAGGGTTTGATGCCTTTTTGGAATTACTAAAATGTATGCAGGTATGTAAAAAACTGTTACATTTTTCTTTTTCCTTTTTTTTTTCCCTCTTTTCTCTTTTTTTAAGAGATGGGGATCTCATTATGTTGCCCAGGGTAGAGTGTAGTGGCTAGTCTAGACATAACCATATACACTACACCTTTGAACTCCAGGGCTCTAGCAATTCTCCTGCCTCAGCCTCCTAAATTGCTTGTGACTAGAGGTGCAGGCACAGGCCCAGCTTCTTTGTTGTTGTTGTTCATTGAAATGAACAGCTTTCTGTGTGTGCATCTTTTCATTTTGTGCACATTTCCAAAAGATCAATTTGGATGGCTGTAATTCGGACCAGGAAGCTCCCCTTTAATTGGAGATTCTTAGAAAGGTATGGAGCAGAGGAGATCCCAGCAAAGATTTTTTTTTTTTTTTTTGAGACAGATACTCGCTCTGTCGCCTAGGCTGGAGTGCAGTGGCGCAATCTCAGCTTACTGCAAGCTCTGCCTCCAGAGTTCAAGTGATTCTCCTGCCTCAGACTCCCGAGTAGGTGGGGTTACAGGTATACACCACACATCCAGCTAATTTTTTGTGTTTTTAGTAGATATGGGGTTTCACCAAGTTGTCCAGGCTGGTCTTGAACGCCTGACCTCAAGTGATCCCCACATCTCAACCTCCCAAAGTGCTGGGATTACAGGCATGAGCCACCATAGCTGGCCTGTTGTTTTTTTTTTTTTAGACACAGTTTTTCACTCTGTCGCCCAGGCTGGAGTGCAGTGGCACAGTCTTGGCTTTGGCTCACTGCAAACTCCGCCTCCTGGGTTTGTTCGCCTACCTCAGCTTTCTGAGTAGCTGGGATATCAGGTACCAGCCACCATGCCCTGCTAATTTTGTATTTTTAGTAGAGACAAGGTTTCACCAAGTTCTCGAGGCTGGTCTCAAACTCCTGACCTCAAGTGATCAAGCCTGCCTCAGCCTCCCAGCGTGCTAAGATTACAGGTGTGAGTCACTGCACCAGCCACTTTTGTATTTCTTTTGGTTTCCACTAATGGTCTTTTTTTTAGAGATTACAAGCTTTTTTTTTAATATACTTTCTTGGAAGTCAAGCATATAGTCAAGTTATTTGAGAAACTGTAGTTGTTTTTTATTTTGCTTTTTAATGTTTCCATATTTCTTTTTCTCTCCTTCATGTAATATTTATATAATACAGTGTAGACCTTTTTCCCCTGTTCAATTCTCTTTTTAGGAAACAGCCCTATATACAAAACAGAATCTAGAAGTAGAAACCAACAGGTATATTTAACCAGTTATAACTGTAAGAAGATAGGTGACGTCTCTAAAAATCTGAGCAAGTACTGTTATGATTTCTTTAGTAGCCACCTGGCTTTTTTAAGAAAAGGAATGACCAAAGTTGACTTATTTTTATTTTTATTTATTTAAAATTTTTTAATTTTTACTTTATTTTATTTTTGAGGTAGAGTCTTGCTCTATTACCCAGGCTGGAGTGCAGTGGCGTGATCCTTACCGCAACCTCTCTCTGCCTCCCAGGTTCAAGTGATTCTTCTGCTTCAGCTTCCCAAGTAGCTGGGATTATAGGCACATGCCACCATACCTGGCTAATTTTTGTATTGTTAGTAGAGACAAGGTTTTGTCATGTTGGCCAGGCTGGTCTTGAACTCCTGACCTCAAGTGATCCACCCACCTTGGCCTCCCAAAATGCTGGTTACAGGCATGGGCCACCATACCTCACCTAACTTACCATTTTTAGGGAACATTCTAGTTCCTAGGTTGGGTGGTAGTTCATGGGTATTTATTATAATACTACTGTGTTTTTCATTTATCTATAAAAACAGTAGCTCCTTTGGTCATTTTTGATACTTGAAGTATTCTGTATTCTCTATTATTTAATAAGTTCTGACATGTAGAGTAGTTAGGCTAGTTTCTGAACAGTAATTTTAATTAAAAGCTGTTTATTGTTTTGCCATCTTTCAGGTTCTATGAAAACTTTTAATTGCATATTAGGAAATACTAAAACTTAACTATATTATAAAGTACATTTATAAATTCAATAACATTTTAAAAGCTTTTCACATTTCTTTTACAATTTTTTTCTATAGACAGTAGAGCTAAAAAGGATGTGAAGGATTATTTCAGTGAAATATTGAAGTATTTTATTGCCTAACACAAATCTAGAAGATACCTCTGAAATAATGCATTTACTGGAATTTTTTAATTTATATTTTAGAGAATATTATATACACACATAATTTTAAAGGCTATTATTTCTCATAGTACTTGAAGTTTCCTGTTAAAACGTATACCTTCTGTGTTTTTATAATCAATATATATTTCTTCTACATTACTTCTTAGGTTTCCATATAAAAGAACAACTATAATTTTCATTCATATATAATTTTTTTCACTTCCTTTAAGGGAATGGATCCAATTACACGTCAAGTAGGACAACATATTGAAATGGAACCAGAGTGGGAAGCAGCCTTCACACTGCAAATGAAACTAACACACGTCATTTCAATGATGCAAGACTGGTGTGCTTCAGATGTGAGTCTCTTCTGGGCATGGGGAATAAGAGGAAAATGGAGGAGGGAGGAATAAGCAGAATCCTAAGTAAATTCTGAGGAGATCTGGAGAAAATAGTGGTGATGCTTAAGTTCATCAAACAGCATATTTTCCTTCTCCACCTATAAAATTTTAAAATTCTACAGCTTTAGGAAAAACTTGAAAAATAGAGAAGCAAATAATCCAAATTGTCTCTTCCCTAATGTAACTATCTTTGTTGTTGTTTTTTTCCATAATATCTTCTAGACTTTGAGAATATAAAAACAGTAGTTTATAAATGTATTCAAAAAATAAAGTTTTATTATTGGTACGTTTGTCCTGTCTTAAAATTATTTTGGCCTTCCTTTGGTGATAATCTAGATGAGAGCCTGTATACTTTAGGAGATTAGAGAAAGTTTCCGTAAGGTCTGAACAATGTGTAAAAGTTATGGAACAAAGAGTAAATGATATTCCTGAGAAGACAGCTGCATTACAGTCTGTGATGTCAGGGACTAGGATAGTCCCAGGAGCTATAGAAAGGTCTGTGATTGGAGCATAGAGGTAGAGAACAGAGATTTGGGCACAGGAGTGATTTTGCAGGGCCTTGGCCATGAAAAGAAGTTTGAATATAATTTTCTTTTCTTTTCTTTTTTGGAAACAGTGCTCACTCTCTCACCCAGGCTAGAGTATAGTGGTACAGTCCTGGCTCACTGCAGCCTTGACCTCCCTGGACTTAGATCATCCTCCCACCTCAGCCTCCCGAGTAGCTGGGACAACAGGCAAACACCATCACACCTAGCTAATTTTTTTATTTTTTGTAAAGAAAGGGTTTCACCATGTTGCCCAGGCTGGTCTTGAACTCCTAGGGTCAAGTGATCTGCCTCCCTCAGCCTCCCAAAGTCTTGGAATTACAGGCGTGAGCCACCACACTCAGCCTGCATTTTATTCTAATTGAAGTGGGAAGCCTTTAGAGATTACCATCTCTGTTAAATTCCCTGCTTAACTGTTGCCCCCTTTATCCATTTTCCATTCAGTGACATGATTCAATTTACATGTTTTTTTAAAATTGCTCTGTATGGAGGAGAATGGATGAAGGGGGCAAGAGTCGAAACAGGGAATTTAATAGAGAGATGCTTGGCAATGCCTTGGAGTTACTAGAGATGGAGAAAAGTGGCAAGTTTTGAGAGAAACTTAGAAGATGAAGTTGCCAACTTGATAATAGATTGAACAATGGGGAATGGAGGAAAGGAGGGTATTGGAATAACTTCTAGATTTCCACAGCTATATGGGTAAATGTATCATTCACTGAGACGGGGGACATTGGAAGAGGGACCAAGTTTGGGAGGGAGGACTGAGTTTGGTTTTGCCCATATTGTTATTTGAGGTACTTATTCATCATTGAATTCAAGGTGCTTATTCTATATTGTAGAAACTCAACCTTTTGAGTAACTTACAGAAAAACCCCTCTTTTCTAGGAAAAAGTGTTAATTGAAGCTTACAAGAAATGTCTTGCTGTGCTGATGCAGTGTCATGGTGGTTATACTGATGGTGAACAGCCAATCACGCTAAGCATTTGTGGACATTCAGTGGAAACTATCAGATACTGTGTTTCCCAAGAGAAAGTTAGCATTCACCTCCCAGTTTCTCGCTTACTTGCAGGTAAAGCATTTCCCCTAAAATAAAACCTTAAAATTGTCTTTTAAATTGTTGTTTGTGGTTAATATCTGTGAATACTTACTTTCTGTCTGTCAGACATTATTCTGTGATTTTTACATCATTGACTTGTCCAGTCATCACATAGTCCTGTGAAGTAGGTATTATTATTAAGCTTGCTTCACAGATGGGAAGACAGGCATAGAGGGTGACTTGGCTTTAGTAAGTCACACAACAAGAAAGCATAAGTTGGCATTATAAGGAAGTTTGGCCCCAGAGGCCATGTTTATAGCCATTATGCCATAGTGCTTCTTTAGACTTAACTACAGATACCACGTTTGATCATTTAACTGAATCTAGCTTAAAAGTCTGTGTTGTTGGCAAGTACTAGAGCCAGTAAATAAATGAATAAATAATAAATAAAAGTCTGTATTGTTAACATCAAATTAATCTGTTGCTTAAGCAATTGCTAATAACTTAAAGCCACCCTATGTTTTCTCTTCTTTTTTTCTCTCCCTTTTTTCTATTCTCCTTTTCTTCTCTAAGCTGTTTCTTTTTTTTTTTTTTTTTTTTTTTTGGAGATAGAGTCTCACTCTGTCACCAGGCACTAGGCTGTAGAGCAGTGGTGCAATCTCGGCTCACTGCAACCTCTGCCTCCCGGGTTCAAGCAGTTCTCCTGCCTCAGCCTCCCGAGTAGCTGGAACTACAGGCACACACCACCATGTTTAGCTAATTTTTTGTATTTTTTAGTAGAGAGGGGGGTTTCACCATGTCAGCCTGGATGGTCTTGATCTCTCGACCTCATGATCCGCCCGCCTTAGCTTACCAAAGTGCTAGGATTACAGGCATGAGCCACCGCACCCAGCTGCTATTTCATATATTTATTGATAGCCTCTTATGCAACAGGTCAAGAACAAGGCCATAATGGGGTGATAATTCTTTTAATTTCAAGTAGTTGATCTATAAGTCACTTGTAATTAATTAGTAGAATATCTGAAGCTGTCATCTTACAGTGGCCAAAGACTTTGAATATACACTTGATCCATCTCTGCAGACTAATTTCAGTACAGCTTTTGTATTTCTTGATTCTAGTTATTCTTGTCTTGCTCACACCCTGGTGTTTTCTTTAGTTCCATTTTAATTCAGAGAATAGAAATTCTGAAGGTAGATATTTTTACTCATTGTAAAAATATGTAGTTCATGTTAAGTTTGTGGCTCAGTAGCTTAATGTGATTGAGGGTATGTTTTTTTATTTGTTTTGTCTTTTTCTTGAATACATTGTAGAGAATTTGTTTCATTTCTTCCTTAAATGTTTGACAGAACTCACCAGTGAAGTCATCTCATCTGATGCTTTAGTTTTTGGAAGGTTATTAATTATCAACTCCGTTTCTTTAATAGATACAGGCCTGTTTAGGTTATCTGCTTCTCCTTGTGTGATTTTTAATAGTTTGTATCTTTCAAGGAATTGGTCCATTTCATCTAAGTTAACAAATTTGTGAGCCTAGAGTTGTTAATAATATTCCTTCATTTTCCTTTTATGTACATGAGGTCAGTAGTAATGATTCCTCTTTCATTCTGAAGGCATCTTTTTCATTGTTCTGATACCCATCTCCCACTGATAGATCCTTGCCATGGGTATATTATGGAAGTCACAGTCATTTAAGATAATTACTTACTCTGAGGCTTATAAAGTTGTTATTCTTAGACATCTGAATATTAAAATGGTACAATAGACCATTACCTAGAATGAAATCATGATCATAAGAAGAACTCTCTCTTATTTCTAAAACTTGTTCAGGCCCAGTTTTTTTTTTTATAAGTATTTTGAGCAAGTGAACTGTTGATCCTCAACACAGGCAATTTATAGCATGGTGTTTTGGAAAAGTATTGGATAGAAGGCAAGAAAGCGAGGCATGCATGGGGAAGTAGCACACAGGCATGGCTGCACATGCCCTGCACATTCCCTTAAAAAAAGTGGGGGTGGCCGGGCGCGGTGGCTCACGCCTGTAATCCCAGCGCTTTGGGAGGCCAAGGCTGGTGGATCACGAGGTCAAGAGAGCGAGACCATCCTGGTCAACATGGTGAAACCCCGTCTCTACTAAAAATACAAAAAAATTAGCTGGGCATGGTGGCGCATGCCTATAATCCCAGCTACTCAGGAGGCTGAGGCAGGAGAATTGCCTGAACCCAGGAGGTGGAGGTTGTGGTGAGCCAAGATCGTGCCATTGCATTCCAGGCTGGGTAATGAGCAAAACTCCGTCTCAAAAAAAAAAAAAGTGGCGGAGGGGAGCAGGCAAGAAAATGAGTAGTGAGTCCTGTCTCCAAATGAGCCTCTGATCTCTTCTGCCTTTAAAAACCTAATTTTATGAGAGGAAGCTGATGCTGGTAGTTATCTACAGTGAAAAAGTCAATACTCTACAAATGTACTAATTTCTGCCTAGGTTTTTACTTCCCTCAAAGCTGTTGTGTGAATATTTTTGAGTATTCATCTCATTGTATTTGATAAACCTTTGCCTGAGTGCTTATAATCTAATTGGAAAGCTTAGTAAACCTACCCAAAACAGTTCATAGACAGTCGGAAGCAAGTGCTAATAGAGCTTAGCAGTAAATGTTGAGAATAAGCTATTATAATGGCATTAGTTAGATACAGGTTTCCCTAGATGAAGAAAGCCTCAAACCAGGCTTGAGCAAGTAGCCAGTATCTACTGATAAGAATTTAAAGGGTGTCCTCTGTTTAAGTAATATCACAGACAGAACACATTCAGAATGAACTGAAGGCTGGGTACAGTAGTTCATGCCTGCAATGCGAGCACTTTGGGAGGCTGAGGCCAGCAAATCACCTGAGGTCAGGAGTTCGAAAACAGCCTGGCCAACATGGCAAAAGCCCATCTATGCTAAAAATACAAAAATAATAGTTGGGCATGGTGGAGTACATCTGTAGTCCCAGCTACTCTACTTGGGAGGCTAAGGCAGGAGAATCTCTTGAACACGGGAGACAGAGGTTGCGGTCAACCAAGATCCCTTGAGTTGACAAACTAAAGAGGCTTTGATCCTGAACCAGAAGTTCTGGGGAACTTAATTCAAAGGTCAGTATCAGTGCAGACTGTGAATTCCAGGGCCAGTTTCTCTGTTCAGTGGCCAGAAAGATCTCTCACTACTATGCTTTAAATGGGAACAAACTCCATGGCCCAGTGAAATATAACTCTTAACGTTGGCATAACATGTATATAAATTGTTTTGATAGCTTTTAAAATGTCCTCAGTGTATATTAGTAGATACAACTAAGACTAGTTCTAAGTGTGCCTTTGATAAGAGATTCATGAGAAGCATTAAAGAGCTTCTTTTATTAATATAGTTCATTTTATATCTTATTGGTAATTTGATAGGTTCCCAAAGAGAAAAGAAGTTAAAGTTGAGTGAATATGTAGGGTATTTTTCCTAAATGATTTTTACTCATAGAAATACTGTTTTTTGTTCTTTTATGCAGGTTTACATGTATTATTAAGCAAAAGTGAAGTGGCATATAAATTCCCAGAGCTCCTACCTCTAGTAAGTGGTACTAACATTTAAAAGTGAATACCTATTTATTATGTTCCTTGTATTTGAAATCACTTTGAAACATATTTTTAGTTTGGGTTCCCCAGAGAACAGAACCAGTAAGATATGTGAATGTGTGCGTGTAAATAGGGAGACAGAGAGAGAGAGATTTGTTTCAAGGAATTGGCTTATGAAATTATGGGGAATGAAATCTGCAGGGGAGCGGACTGGCAGACCGGAGAGACCCAGGGAAGAGTTGATGTTGCAGTCGGGTACAGTGGCTGTCATAAATGCATAATTCCTTCTTCTGTGGGGGATATCAGTCGTTTCTGAAGGCCTTCAACTGAATTGATGAAGCCCACTCATGTTTGGCGAGTAACCTGTTTTTGTTTGTTTGTTTTTTTAAACAGAGTTTCACTCTGTCATCCAGGCTGGAATGCAGTGGTGCCATCTCAGCTCACTGCAGCCTCCGCCTCCTCGTTCAAGGGATTCTCCTGCCTCAGCCTCCTGAGAAGTTGAGAATATAGGCACCTGCCATCATGCCCGGTGTTTTTATTTTTAGTAGAGGTTTTTTTAGTTTTTAGTAGAGACAGGATTTTACAATGTTGTCCAGGCTGGTCTCAAACTTCTAATTTCAGGTGATCCATCTGTCTCAGCCTCCCAAAGTGCTGGGATTATAGGCATGAGCCACTATACTCAGCCAGTCTATGATTTGAATGTCAATCATGTGTAAAAATACCTTCATAGCAACATTAGATTGGTGTTGACCATAAATGAGATACTGTAGCCTTGCTAAGTTGATACATAAAACTAACCACCACACAAACATATCTTAAAATAATTAAAATAAATAAGGCTGAGTGTGGGGGCTCACACTTGTAATCCCAGTACTTTGGGAGGCCGAGACCGGTGGATCACCTGAGGTAAGGAGTTCAAGACCAACCTGGTCAACATGGCAAGACCCCCTTCTCTACTAAAAATACAAAACTTAGCCAGGCATGGTGGCCCATGCCTGTAATCTCAGCTACCCGGGAGGCTGAGGGAGGAGAATCGCTTGAACCCGCGAGGCCAAGATTGCGCCACTACATTCCAGCCTGGGCAACAGAGTGAGACTCTGTCTCAAAAAAAAAAATTAAAATAATTTATATTGTGTTTTATAAAAGCTTTTATCCCTATCAACCAAACTTCTTTATAGCATTGAGTGATTTTTTTGTTTTCTGTTTTTTTATTTTTTGTATCTATAGAGTGAACTTAGCCCACCCATGTTGATAGAATACCCTCTTAGATGTCTCGTTTTATGTGCCCAAGTACACGCCGGAATGTGGAGAAGAAATGGGTTCTCTCTAGTAAACCAGGTAAGTGTTTTCTAATTCTATGAAGAGTTTTCATTCCATTTTTGGCTTCTGTGAATGTTGTAATTTTCAGTGGACTTAGTAAAAGCTGAGTATCTATATTGTTTGAAAGGATAAATGTAATAAAAAATTCTTAGGACTTTTATTCATAATTTGTCAAATAATATCAAAAGTAAAAATGAACAACAGTGGTCATAATTTTTACTTGGAATAATTTTTTAGAACAAAGTTGGATATTAAAAAATAATAAAAATCCAGATTTTATCTATTTAAATTAAATTGAATTAAAAAATAAAAGTCCTTTTTAGTATAGCTATAAAATTGAGGTTTACTCTTTAGACCTCACAGTACGCTTGGAATGAATTTTTTTTTTCCGAGATCAGACAAGATCTGGCACATTTGGAGTGATATGGCCGTAGACAGAATTTTTTTCGCTCCTGTTTTTGGTATCTCCTAACCTTCCTGAGACAACGTTTTACTTTATTCAGAGACCCAGCGAGTTAGCTGCAAAATATGAACCAGAACATGATCACTGTAATGTGAAAATCTGTAATTAATTAATCTATACGAAGATAATGTTCATTGTTAGAGAAACCACATCACACGCGTGCACACATTCTTACTTGTACAAACTTGTCCTTGTGGGGAAATATTGGGAGAGAGAGCCTTAACCAACAAAAACTATTAACTCAATATAATTACTTATTTTTTTAGATTTATTACTACCATAATGTGAAATGCAGACGTGAGATGTTTGACAAGGATATAGTAATGCTTCAGGTAATGAATTAAAAGCATTGAACTTAAAGGTCGTGGGGAGTCTTTTTCTTGTTATTATTTCCATAGAATCCAGTCAGTTGTGATCACTCCCAAATCTATAACTCCAGCCTAGCCCTGTCTCCCAAGCTCCAGATTCATATGGCTAACAGCCTTTAGATCATTTCTATCTATATTTCCTAGGCATACTTCAGATTAAACGTGTTCAGAGTAACTCCTCATATTTCCTCCATACCTTCTTCCTGTCTTCAGTTCCCTACCTCAGTGAATTGTTCCACAGTCCACCTAGTTGCTAAAGTCATATACCTTTATTGTCCTCTGGTTCTTTAACTAATTTTAAACCTCGTACTTTAAACCCCTTAAACTAATTTTCAAGGACTTCCATACTTAACTACATTGAAGTTCCCAGCACTTGCCATATTCTCATAAATCGTAAACTGTGCATATTTATTTCTTTTGCTCCCTAAGTTACCCACCCCTCTCTTTTCCATTTACCTAGCTGACTTATTCTCCTGCCTGTCTTGGTGTTTACTTTAGCATCACTTCCTCTGGGAATCCTTCCCTGACACACTAAAACTTCGCTACATGTCCCTTTTGTGAGCCCCCTAGCATGGTATTTAGCCCTGACAAACACTCACAACCCTGGATTGTGATGGCTGTTGACTCTGCAGCATCCTACCGGCACCCCACCAAACCATAGCAGTATATCTTGTTTCTTTTTCTGTCCTTTTTGCCTTGCATAGTGCTTGTCACACAGTAATAGTTCTCTGTTGCTACTGAATGGATTTAGTCATTACAGAAAAATAAAGTCAAGAAATGTATATTTCAAAAAATTATTAGTTCAAAACAAATTAAAATCTAGGTTGATTTATAATTTATACAAATGGAATTAAAAGAGAACTGAAACTCATATTTCAAAGCTGTCACTTCAGTTAGTGTAATGCTTTCCAGAAAAAAATAGGTTGAGAGATTCTGATAATAGTTTAATATTATCTATATTTTTAAAATACTAGAAGGTTAATTAACATACCACATTTCCCTGAGTCCAGACAGTGATCAGAGAACCCCAGAATAAAATTTTGGAACTGAATTCACAGGAATACAATTATTTCAAGGCACTGGAAGGAAAGAGAACTCATAGTCCATGTTACTCTGCTGTGTGGGCTTAGGTTTGGGGCTTGTTTGTTTGTTTGTTTGTGTTTTGTTTTACCAATTTAGATTCATTTCTACACTTGTCAGCTACCACAAGTAGGGATTGAGGCTAAATGGATTTTTATCTTTTGTTGGGATTGATGAACCTTTTAGGATTGGTAAACTGCTTTCTCTTGTGCAAGCCAAACTATCACTAATGTTTAGTGGCCCCTTTGACCTTCCTCTTTTCCTTTATCTCAAACATTAAAAAAAAAAAAAAAAGACAGGTGTCTCCATGATGGATCCAAATCATTTCCTGATGATCATGCTCAGCCGCTTTGAACTTTATCAGATTTTCAGTACTCCAGACTATGGAAAAAGATTTAGTTCTGAGATTACCCATAAGGTAAGACCATGTTTTATGAAACTACAACACATTGCTAATGAAGCATCTTTTCTTCTTTTTGAATATGTTAATTCTCTGAGATTATACGATATGCCTATTCTTATCTCTGAAGTTTATCTTCCCTCACTTGTTATAGGATGTTGTTCAGCAGAACAATACTCTAATAGAAGAAATGCTATACCTCATTATAATGCTCGTTGGTAAGTTTGAATTGTTGGAAGCATTCATTATGTTGCAGTTTGTAGTAGCACATAGTTTGGAATTTCTGACCTGTGTTTCCTGTGTTTTGAGAGGATACTCAGGGGAAGTGAATTGGAATATTCCTCTTTTTCTCCCCTCTGGTTACTGTAACATTGAGAGTAACAGCAGTGTGGTGTTTTGGAAGAAGGAGAAAATACAACTACTGAAGCAGAATAAACTGGAAGACTCTGTTTTGCAGGGTGGTGGTGGGGTGGGGACAGGAGAATTTAGCAAGCAAACAATAGGTTATTTAAGATCTATTTACTCTTACTTTATATCTTAACTATGTTTTTCTCCGTGGGTTTGTGGTACAAAAGTATCTTCTTCTTGACTTCAGATACAATAATTCCAAGCTAATGGAGACCTATGGCTAATAGATGTGGATCTCTTTCCTTATTATCTATATTTTCTGTCTTTACTACTGTTTTAGAACCCCTATAGTCCATAGAGCAAAGAATCCTGGCTACTGTCAGGAGATGATACCAATGAAGGTCTCCAAAGTTGATGTTTTATTTGCCACTAGATAGAAGGGGAAAAGAAGGCTCTCCCTTCTTGCTCCCCCGAGGAGAATAGGGTAAATGCAGTCTCCTTGACTACATTTAATCCCTTCCCACACTTCTGATCCCATTCTTTTGAAACCGCAGGAGAGCTCTCTCCACTGCCTAAAGCCTGCACTCAGGTGTTGGGTCTAAGATGCAGAAGTATGGTCAGGAGCTGCTCTCTCCCTGGCTTGTTGCCAGAACAGTCCTTGCTTTCTCATTGCTCAGAGAGACTTAGAGAAATAATAACATGCTGCGTGAATTATAAGTATATATCACAAGAGTATTGTGATTAATGTTAAATGTGTGTATATACACTCTCATTTTTGACAGGAGAGAGGTTTAGTCCTGGAGTTGGACAGGTAAACGCTACAGATGAAATCAAGCGAGAGATTATCCATCAGTTGAGTATCAAGCCTATGGCTCATAGTGAGCTGGTAAAGTCTTTACCAGAAGATGTAAGTACCTACATTTCTAAAAACTGTAGAAACCTTTCCCTGCCTATCAGTCTAGTATGTATAGATTTATTTCTATATACCTTTCTTATAAATTGTAAAATCTATCATTATGGGATGTGTATAATTTCAGTCACTCTTATTATAAATAATTAGAAAAAGAATAGGAGTAGAAAACAGAATAGGAATAGAATCTGTTTCAATAAAGACTTGAAGAACATAAGGACACTAAAAAAAGGTAAGCTCAAACCTTAGAACTAATGTCTGTACCCCACAGAAAGAGGTCATTATAGGGTCTTTAGTGCAAAATTGCCATGGGTATGGATAATGCTTTATAACCTAGTATATTGAGGAAGGGAGTCAGAAGTACCTACTCACATATGTTGAGTAGAATAAATAATGTTTTCCACAGCTTTTTCCTACTTGGCTTCCAGAGACTCACTGCAACCTCCCCCACCGGGGTTCAAGCAATTCTCCTGCCTCAGCCTCCTAAGTAGTTGGGATTACAGGCATCTGCAATCATGCCCAGCTAATTTTTATATTTTTAGTAGCGACAGGGTTTCACCATGTTGGCCAGGCTAGTCTCGAACTCCTGACCTCAGGTGATCCACCCGCCTCAGCCTCCCAGAGTGCTGGGATTACAGGTGTGAGCCACCACGTCCAGCTGAGACTCTTAATGAGGAGCCCTTGTTTTATTTTAGTGAATGTAAAATAGTAGTGACAAGGACACTCATAGGTTAAATTGCAACTGTTTTTCCTTCCAGGGGTCATAAGTTTCTCACCAATGTATTTTTCAGCCATGGGACTTTTCAGAAATTCAACCCCTATAATTGGAAAGGGACTTTATTTTCATTGAGGTTTTTTCAAAATGTTTACCTTAATTTGAAACATAGATTGAAACTTTCAACCTTAATTAACATTTATTTTTCTGGGATTTCAACCTGTCTTATCTTTGTTGCATAGTAATACTTTTAAACTTTGTATTATAAATATTTAAAACATCTATAGAGAAAAAAATATATAACAAAGCCATCACCACCTTCAATGGATGGCCAGTCTTGTTTCGTCTATACCCCAACCACTGACCTCTGTGCCCTACTGTATTACTTCCTAGAGAATACTATATTTACCATTTCATCTATAAATAGGACTATATATATCTAAAACACTGATTCTCAACTGGGGACAGTTTTGCCCCCCAGGGGACATCTGGGAATGTCACTACTCAGGCCAGGGTGTGGGATGCTAGTGGTGTCTAGTGGGTAGAGGCCAGGGATACTGCCAAACATCCTGCAATACCAAGGACAACCCCCGACAGCAAAAAATTATCTCATCTGAATGTCAATAGTGCTGAGGTTGAAAAACTCTCATCTAAAAAATGAGGACGCTAAAAAAAACCTGTCTTTATATTATCACACTTTTATAAACAGCAATTTATATATATATTACAGAAACATTTATATATCTATATATCTATAACATATATATAATATATACTTTATATAGACATATTTTATGTAGATATATAATATATATATATATATAAATGTATTATATATATTTGTTGTTGTTGTTGAGACAGAGTCTGACTCTATCGCCCAGGCCAGAGTGCAGTGGGACATTCTTGGCTTACTGCAACCTCTGCCTCCCGGGTTCAAGGAATTCTCATGCCTCAGCTCCCAAGTAGCTGGGATTACAGGCACATACCACCATGCCCAGCTAATTTTTATATTTTTAGTAGAGACAGACTGTCATCGTGTTGTCCAGTCTGGTCTCGAACTCCTAGTCTCAAGTGATCCACACACCTCAGCCTCCCAAAGTGCTGGGATTACAGGCATGAATCACCATGCCTTGCCAATTAATGAATAATTTCTTAATGTCACTAAATATCTAGTCAAGATAAAAATTACTTGTACTTCTTTAATGCAGGAAGTAAATCCCAAGTTGTTCAGTTAGGAATCAGTTATAATTTAGTCTAAACTTTAAGGAACAATAAAATTTCAGAAAGCATTTTTAAAGTGGTTTAAACCTTATATAAAGTGATTGTAACTGTATTTCCCAAACGTTTTAAAGAATTATTTATTCACAGAATTCCTATTAATATCTTGTCATGAGTGAGATGTGATTTGGGAAGTGCTGTTGTACTGAAAATATGGACAAGAAATTAGTGCAACTATTTTGTAAAATACCAAAAGTATTTTATGTATTTTTTTAAAAATGTTTTATATACTTTATTTTTCATTTAATTCCTTTTAGAAAGCTCTTACCTTGATTCCATATGGTAGTGACTTTTTAAAAATCATAAAGTTTTATCTATTTTATGTATTTAAAAATAATATATCAATTTAAATGAACATCAGCTTACCAAGTAAGTGTGTCTAGTTTTGTATTAATCATTATATTTGCTATGGAATCCTCATCTGTAAAAATGAAGATAAGGTGTATCTACCTCAGGTTATTATGAGGGTCAGTGGGATAAAACACAATGCTGAGTGCTAGCAGTTATTATTAACATGAAACACACTTGTGTCCTGTACCTTTAGGAGAACAAGGAGACTGGCATGGAGAGTGTAATAGAAGCAGTTGCCCATTTCAAGTGAGTTTACTTCCTATTATTTCACATTCTTTTTTTTATTTTTCTAGTACATTCATTTTTCTTAGAGTGTTTTCTTTGATGGAACTGAGAATAAAGTTGCATCTTTCAGAGAGTGACAGACATTTTCAAATTACAGCTGTGAATAAGATTTCTCACTGACATTGCACTTTTCTGATCTTGCCCTATACTCAGCAACATAAAGTAACATTGTGAGGGTTTTCATCACATTCAGAATAGGTGTTCATAGCTGATGGTTTCAAATAGTAAAAATTAACCTCAGCAGTGATCTAAGTAAATGCATCATAATTTCTTAAAACTGCTTTCTTTTATTTCCTTTTGAATGTGCCGCCTAAATTGTGGGAAAACATTCCTAAACAGTCTTTGCCAATCAATAGACTGGTTTATATCCTTCAAGTTGTTGAGGCAGTTTCTTAAACCTGTTTTTTCCTTGCTTCCTATCCCAATGACAATGTCTTCATTTTTTTTATTTCACTATAAATTTTTGAAGATAGACAGTGTCTTTATTTTTTGTTGGTTATAAAGACAATACTTGCTTTCAGAAAAAATATTACCTGTAATCCAACCACTCAGATGATTTCTATTATTTTTAGATGTATATCTTTCTTCATTTTTTTTCTATACTTGGAACACATTTATAACAAAAAATTGGTTCATTTTATATTTACTATTCTATAATCTTTTTAAAAATTAAACTTTAATGGGATGTTTCCATATGTTTGTGTCTTTGGGGGGGTTTTGTTTTTTCCGGGGTTTTTTGTTTTTTACTTAATATATTTTGTCAGTACATATAGGCATACTTCATCCTTTTTCACTTGGGTCTTACTTTGTCACCCAGGCTGTGCAGTGGCATGATCTTGGCTCACTGCAACCTCCACCTCCTGGGTTCAAGCAATTCTCTTGTCTCAGCCTCCCAAGTAGCTGGAACTGCAGGCGCCCACCACCATACCTGGCTAATTTTTTTATTTTTAGTATAGATGAGGCTTTGCCATGTTGGCCAGACTGGTCTCGAACTCCTTGACCTCAAGTGATCCAGCCCACGTCAGCCTCCCAAAGTGCCAGTATTATAGGTGTGAGCTTTTTCACTTTTTTGTAGTCATATACTGCAATGTATCTAACCTCTTCCCTATTAGTGTAATACTTAATTTCCAGATTTTCTCTTATAAACAAATATTGAACACCCTTGTACATATAGCATTAACAAGTATATCTTTGACTGTGAAAGTGTTTTTTGAGGATTAGCCAGATCAAAATGAAAGTTTGTATTACATTTTGATACATACCTCCTAATTGCATTCCCGAAAAAGCAATTTACACTGACTAGCAGCATATGAAGAGTGCCCTGCAACTTTGTCAACACACTGATATGAGCAGTCTTTTAATTTCTACACATTAGATGGGTGAAAACAGTACCTTATTTTAATTTGCATTACTCTAACAGTGAAGTTCAGCATCTGTTTATGTGCTGATTGGCCGCTTATGTTTTTTCATACTTTAATCCATTTTTCTTTATGGTTGTTTGTCCCTATCTTATTGTTTCAATAGTATTTTTATATACTAGAAATATCAATTCTTATTTAATACATCACAAGTACTTTTTTCCAGTCTGTCCCTTGTTTTTAACTTGGTGTCATTTCTGTTTTTAAAACTGTCTCATTTGGCTTCTAGGTTTTATAACTTGCTTAGGAAAATTCTCTAAACCCCAATAGTGTACCTGCTTTTTTCCACTAAATAAAACTTAACATAGATGTCTTTACATGTGAAAATAGAGAAATTATCATCACTGTTAATGGTGTTCAATTGTTTAGAGATGTTGTAACTTATTACTTATTTCCTGTTGTTCGACTTTTTAATTGTTGCCACAGCAGTGCCCATCAGCTTCACTTGTCCAGTTAGGATAAATTCAAAGTGGGTGCGCTAAATAAAATGGATGCATGTAGAATTTGGATTTAGATTGCCGAATCAACCCACTGAAAATAGTTGTAACTTAATGCCCACCAGCAGTGTATGAGAACTCTGCTTTCTTGTTCTAATATCCGACTCTCATAAATTAGTGCATGGCTTTAGTAATAATATTCTAAGGTCCTTTCTTTCATAGGAAACCTGGATTAACAGGACGAGGCATGTATGAACTGAAACCAGAGTGTGCCAAAGAGTTCAACTTGTATTTCTATCACTTTTCAAGGGCGGAACAGTCCAAGGTAATTGGGAAAATTAAAAATGTAGCAGGGAAGGGTTTAATTGTTTTTAAGAGATGGGATTTCACCATGTTACCCAGGCGAGAGTTTAGTGGCTGTTCACAGTGCCATTATAGAGCATTGCAACCTCAAACTCCTGGGCTCAAACAATCCTCCATGTCAGCCTCTTGAGTGGATGGGATTACAGGCATACACCATTGTATCTGGCTTGGATTTTTTTTTTCCTAAACAACTTTTTACTGCTTTTAGGATACATTTTCATTGTAGGAAATTTGGAAAATATAAAGAAGAAAGTAGAAATTACTTAAAATACCCTCACCTAACATTTTGGAGTTTCCCCCTAGCATTTTGTGCATACATATATAAAATCTGTATAATACATACCTATATATATGGGTGTCGTTTTTGACAAGAAATTTTCAACCTGCATTATAATCAGTTAATCCATTTTACGCACATTTCAGAATTGGTGCTATTTAGCATGCTTTTTCATAGAGATACATGCAGTTTTTCTAATCGTTCCTAGGTAATTAAATTTTGCCTTTTTAGCAGGGCATGATGACTCATGCCTGTAATCTCAGCACTTTGGGAGGCTGAGGTGGGCAGATCGTTTGAGCTCAGGAGTTTGAGATCAGCCTGGGCAACCTGGTGAAACCCCATGTCTACTAAAAATACAAAAATTAGCCAGGTGTCATGTCGTGCAGCTGTCGTCTAGCTACTTAGGAGGCTGAGATAGGAGGATCACTTGAACCCAGGAGGTCAAGGCTGCAGTGAGCTGCGATTTCACTCTAGCTTGGGCAATGAGAGTAAGGCCCTATCTAAAAAAAAAATTGCCTTTTAGCAGTCTTCTCTTAAAATGCTTTTTCAATAAACAGCCTTAAAACTTAAAGTTTTTATTTAGTTTTTGATGAAGTCATAGAGTTCAAACCTAAATAAGTTGTATTGGTTTTGGGTTGTACATGTTTCCCTTCCAATTTAAAGTAATAGATAACTCATTTAGAGATTCTTTTAGTTGGAAAAAATTTAGCCTTGATGTGTTAATTTAGGGGAGGACTAGAACATTAAGGATAAATTTTTTTTTCTTTGTTGTGAAACAGGGTCTCGCTCTATTACCCAAGCTGGAGTGCAGACATGATCTCTGCTCACTGCAGCCTCTGCCTCCCAGGTTCAAGCAATTATACTTCCTCGTCCTCCCAAGTAGCTGGGATTACAGGTGTGCCACCACACTGAGCTAATTTTTGTATTTTTAGTAGAAATGGGGTTTCACCATGTTGGCTAGGCTAGTCTTAAACTCCTGACTTCAGGTGATCCACCCGTCTTGGCCTCCCAAAGTGCTGGGATTACAGGTGTGAGCCACTGCGCCTGGCCTCTGTTGTATTATTTTCTGATTTTAGATTTTCATCCTTGTCCAGACATGGTGGCTCACACCTATAATCTCAGCACCCTGGGAGGCTGAGACAGGTGGATCACCTGAGGTCAAGAGTTCAAGACCAGCCTGGCCAACATGGTGAAACCCCATCTCTACTGAAACTACAAAAATTAGTTGGGCGTGGTGGGTGGGTGCCTGTAAATCCCAGCTTCTTGGGAGGCAGAGGCAGGGAGAATTGCTTTAACCGGGAGCTGGAGGTTGCAGTGAGCTGAGATCACGCCACTGCACTCCAGCCTGGGTGACAGAGTGAGACTCCACCTCAAAAAAAAAAAAAAAAAAAAAGGCCCGGCGCAGTGACTCACACCTGTAATCCCAACATTTTGGGACGCTATGGCAGATCACGAGGTCAGGAGTTCAAAACCAGCCTGGCCAACATAGTGAAAACCCCATCTCTACTAAAAATACAAAAATTAACCAGGCATGGTGGCAGGTGCCTTATAGTCCAGCTACTTGGGAGGCTGAGGCAGGAGAATCGCTTGAACCCAGGAGTCAGAGGCTGCAGTGAGCTGAGATTGCACCACTGCACTCCAGCCTGGGCAACACAGCAAGACTCTGTCTCAAAAAAAAAAGAAAAGAAAAGAAAAGATTAAGAAAAAAGATTGGCCAGAAAAGATTTAAAAAAAAGAAAAAAGAAAATAATACAACAAAGATGAACTTATGTCACTAGTTTTAGATATGTTTTGTATTACTAATTCCCGGTCCAAATAACTTTATTTTTATTAGGCAGAAGAAGCTCAACGGAAATTAAAAAGACAAAATAGAGAAGATACAGGTATTTTTAATCTTTCTAAAAATTTTCTGCTCATCTTTTTTACTGGTTAAACATTGTTTCCATTAACTATGATGATTGTCCTTGGTGGAATGAAAGATTTGAATGTAAGCTTTCCTAGTGAATAACCTCCTATTCAAAGGAATAATAAATATGTTAACATAGAAATAGTGTGTACTAAGTCTCTTCTGGGTTGATTTTATCTCAGATCTTAAGAACTTCCTAGGGAAAAAGACTTCTGTACTGCTGCTACTTATATGGCTCTTTTTATGCATCTGACCTTGAGAAGGCAAAATAATAGCTTTAAGGTGTGTGTGAATGAATATTCTTTAGTTAAAACTATCAGAAGTAACAAAGGGATGGTTTTTAAAGCATGGTCTACAAAAGAAACCAATAGTAACAACTGTATTTTCAGCTCTTCCGCCTCCAGTTTTGCCTCCATTCTGCCCTCTGTTTGCAAGCCTGGTTAACATTTTGCAGTCAGATGTCATGTTGTGCATCATGGGAACAATTCTGCAATGGGCTGTGGAACATAATGGATATGCCTGGTCAGAGTCCATGCTGCAAAGGGTAGGTCTGAAGACATTTGTTATTTATATTTTAGCGTTTTATAGTACAAGCAAAATATTCTTGTCTATATCCATACACAGGAAAACTAGGCCAAAATGTATTGTGCTTTCCCAACTTGAAAATATGGTTACAGCTTTTGTGTCTGACAGTGAAAACAAGTGCCAGACAGATTTTTTTATACCACATGGTTGTTATTACCTCAGTCCTATTGCGCAATCTTTCTCTTCTTGCTTGGTCCTGGTCTGCATATATGTAGTACTCTGATATTGATATAATGTGTAATCTTTTATATACGTTTCTAATCTAATTAGTTTCCAAAACAAAAAACTTTTTTGAATCATTCATATTCTTATTTTGTAGTTGAAGAAACTAACAGAGACTTATGGTTCTATAGCTAGTTAGGCGGCAAGTCTGGAACCTTGTTTGTGTTGTTTTTGTTGTTGTTTGTGGTTTTTTGAAACAAGATCTGGCTCAGTCACCCAGGAAGCTGAAGTGTAGCAGTGCTATCTTGCTAACTACAACCTCTGTCTGGCTCACTGCAACCTCTGTCTCTGGGGTTCAAGTGATCCCTCCACCTCAGCATCCCAAATAGCTGGGATTACAGGCATGCATCATAACGCCTGGCTAATTTTTGTATTTTTGGTAGAGACAAGATTTTGCCATGTTGCCCAGGCTGGTCTCAAACTCCTGGACTCAAGGAGTCCTCCCCGCTCAGCCTCCCAAAGTACTGGGATTCCATGCATGAGCCACCATGCCTGGGCCCTTGTTTGTATTTTACTTTAATGTAAGTCATTCTTTATCTTACATTATCTCATTGGTTTCAAACAACATTCCTGTGAGTAGATACAATGTTTTTCCCATTGTTAGATGAGGAAGCCAAGTTTCAGTGATGTTCCATTAACTTCCCATATTACTCAACTACTAAGTGATATCATAATTATTCATTAAACAGAATACCTACGCTATGCCTTATTCCATGCTAAGCACTTTTTTTTTTTTTTACCTGTTTGTCACCCAGGCTGGAGTGTGATGGTGTGATCTCAGTTCACTGTAACCTCTGCCTGCCAGGTTAAAGCAATTCTCCTGCTTCCGCCTCCTGAGTAGCTAGGATTACCAGTGCCCACCAACACGCCCAGCTGATTTATTGTATTTTAAGTAAAGACAGGGTTTCACCATGTTGGCCAGGCTAGTCTCAAACTTCTGACGTCAGGTGATCCACTCGCCTTAGCCTCCCAACATGCTGGGATTATGGGCATGAGCAACTGTGCCTGGCCATGTTAATTAAGTACTTTGTATACAGTGTTTGTAATCCTCAGAACTATAGAAGGAAGCTGTTTTTTCCAGTGTTAAAGATGATGACATCAGCTCAGAGGCCCTCCCCGAGGGAATATACTAATAGCTTGAAAGCAGTAAAACCAGAATTCAGATTCAAATTTTGGAGCCTTTCTCCACAGCTATCATTCTTTCTTTTTGTCTCACTGACTAAGATGTATGTATTCTCATAATGCCCTTAGATTTATCTGTAAGCATATTTAAAGTGTAAAAGCATGGAGCTGTGGTATACTAGCTCACTACCAGTACAACTGTACTAGCTGTCGTGTACTGTCAGCATTATGTGAACAAAGATTTATGGGAAATAATGGAGGAAAGAGGTGTGAACAGTATTTACCTTACATGTACATTTGCGTTATGTCACCTAGTTCTTCCAAGTCTCTGACAACCACAGTCATCCCATGTGGAGGGAAAGATACAGAGACACCACACACATCTCCTTCAAAAACTGGGATACAGGCTGGGCTCAATGGCCCATCCCTGTAATCCTAGCACTTCAGGAGGCCAAGGCAAGTGTATCACTTGAGGTCAGGAGTTCAAGACTAGCCTGTACAACAGAGTGAAACCCTGTCTCTACTGAAAATACAAAAATTAGCCAGGCATCGCAGCACATGCCTGTAATCCCAGCTACTCGGGAGGCTCAGGCAGGAGAATCACTTGAACCTGGGAGGCAGTGAGCCAATATCATGCCATGGGCAACGGAGGGAGACTCCGTCTCACATAACAAGAAAACCAGGCATGGGATAAAAGCAGTAAAAAAACAGATACGTTGATACACTCTTTTAGAAGTCTGGTAAGGAATCTTTTGTGAGATACATTGAAGAACTATGAAGTTTATAAATGATATGGCAGTAGAAATAAAAGTATGTCTTTCTCAGATGATGAAGATTTAGTCCTTAGAGAAATTAAACTAGGTAGTGTCATAGACTGGATAATTACACGGTAGATACTTTTAGCTTTATAATAATTTGACCACTGATTCTTGGAAGGTTTTTTTAAGTCTGAAGTATAAGTATAGAATAAAACTGAAAATATCTATTATATGAATTGCTGGTCACAGCTAGTGGCAATTTTAGCTTACCCTAAGAATTTGCAATTGAAATTTCTTTCTCATTGAAGTAGAAAATTTTGTTTTCCTTGCCAATAATTCTTTATTAGAAAATGAACCTCAGTCTTTTCATTTAATAAAAATTAGTACTTCAGGGCCAGGCATGGTGGCTCATGCCTGTAATCCCAGCACTTTGGGAGGCTGAGGTAGGTGGATCACTTGAGGTCAGGCATTCGAGACCAGCCTGGTCAATATGATGAAATCCCATCTCTACTAAAACTACAAAAATTAGCTGGGTGTGGTGGCACATGCTTGTAGACCCAGCTACTCGGGAGGCTGAGGCATGAGAATCGCTTGAATCCAGGAGGCAGAGGTTGTAGTGAGCTGAGATAGCGCCACTGCCCTCCAGCCTGGGCAACAGGGCAAGACTCCGTCTCAAAATAAAGAAAAAAGAAAAAAAATTAGTACTTCAGATTATTTTTAATTGCATTTAATGTTTAATAGTTTATCTTTTTCAATAATTCTTTTTTGCTATTTCTTATAAAAATATGTGCTTGATTTTTTTTTAAATTATTGCTAAAAGTTACAAAACATTTTATTCAAGGTATTACATTTAATTGGAATGGCACTACAAGAAGAAAAACAACATTTAGAGAATGTCACCGAAGAGCATGTAGTAACATTTGCCTTCACTCAGAAGATATCAAGTATGTACATATGCTTTTTACTAAACTAACTCAAAATGTAAGTGATTTTAAGAAATCACTTAACCTCTTATTTAATCATATAGATTCTAAAAGGGTAATATTTAATCCAAATATATGAGGCTGTATGTACTCATTTGTGTCGTAAAGGTTCTGTATTAAACCCTGATATATTTTTATAAAAATACCTAGGGCTAAGTTCAAAGTTAGAGTCAGCTGTGGTTGATGTAAGATTCTACAGTATTAAAAGAAAAATTATAGGGGATTAGATTGTCATTTCATATAAAGAAACGTGACTTTTTAACAGAAGGCCAGAGAGTTTTTCTAGCTTTTTATTTTAGAAATTTCAAACGTATAGACAAGTCGAAAGAATTGTGCAGTAAACATCCATATACTTACTACCTAGATTCAGTAGTTTGCTATATTTGCTTTTATATTTACATACTTTCTTGAACCATTTGTTATAGACATAATATTTCACATCTCAAAGAAAAGCTTTTTGTTTATTAATTTTCAGAATCAGCCATTGGTCTGATAGTTTCTGCAATTGTGACAACTTTGAATGTTTTTTGTTCAGAGTTTTTAGAAATAGTATTCATGGATTTTTATTCAGTGTTTTTTAGTCACTTATAATTATTCCTTTTGATGCTCAAATTATGCCCATTTTGGTCAGTGGGAGTTGATTTAGTCAGCTTCTGTCTCCTTTTCACTCAGCCCCATTAGTGTTTGAATACCACCTCACTTTCTGGCCCAAAAGATGCCCAAGCTCATCTTGTACTTTCCCTGCCTCAAAACTGTAGTCAGCCATTCACTGAGGTGTTTTTAAATGAATTTATGGTGCTATGATAGGAGTTTATAAATGCTTTGATTGAAAAGGATTATTTCTGTAACTGTGTTCAGTGCCATTTCTTTCTAAATGATAACTGTGAGAGTTACGTTGCCTGGGGACAGGGAAGAAGTAATTCTGTCTGCTGCTACATCTCTAGTTTTCCATTTTGCCCTCATCCAAATAAATGAGAGAAAGAGGAGGAGCCACCTTTCCCCACTGAAGACCATTCTTGGTTGCCAGTTTTTCCTGTTCTTTTTCTCTACCATATTGTTTCTATGGATTAATATAGTGTTTTTTGCTTTCTTTGCTTCTCATGCATTTATTTTAGGATAACCACACAAAATATTCCCTAATTTCTTTTCTTTTCTTTCTTTTTTTTTTTGGAGATAGAGTCTCCTTCTGTTGCCCAGGCTAGAGTGCAATGGCGCAATCTCAGCTCACTGCAACTTCTGCCTCCCGGGTTCAAGCGATTCTTATGCCTCAGCCTCTTGAGTAGCTGGGATTACAGGCACAAGCCACCACACCCAGCTAATTTTTGTATTTTTCATAGAGACAGGGTTTCACCATGTTGGTCAGGCTGGTCTCAAACTCCTGACCTCATGATCCGCCCTCCTCTGCCTTCCAAAGTGTTGGAATTACAGGCGTGAACCACCACGCCCAGCCGATACTCCCTAATTTCATTCACTCATCACTATAACACGTTAGGTTCTTTGCCAGGTGCAGTGGCAAAGGCTGGGAGACTGAAGCAGGAGGATCACTTGAACCCAGGAGGTGGAGGTTGCAGTGAGCTGAGATCTCACCCCTGTACTCCAGCCTGAGCGGCAGAGTGATACTCTGTCTCAAAAAAAAAAAAAAAAAAAAGATACTAGGTTCTCTCTTACTTTCTCTTTCCGTTAATTAATCATCATTTTCCCTCAACATTATTCTTATTTGTCTTTAAACATTGTACATAAATTAAGATAAACAATTTATTTGCAAAGAAACCTCTCTTATCTAGAGTCACATCCCTAATGCACCTTATCTAATTTTAGATTTAATGGAATATTAGAGATCACATAGTTCAATCTCTTCCCTTCTTAGGAAAAAGGAACATTTTTCCAGAATGGGCAGCACCAAAATCAAGAAAATCAATAATCAAACATTTCTGGCTGTAGACTAATAGAAAATATGGACTCGACTCTTTTATTCAGATAAACAGTGAATTCCTAGGGGAAGAAATTCATTTTATTCTGAATGTAGTTTTTATTAAAGGCAATGGTCAGAGCAAATAGATATATTTTTAAATATATACCTCTTATATGGTATATATGTAAAAAAATACGTATTTATTTTTACATGGTATATATGTAAAAAATATACCTCTTAAATGGTATATATGTAAAAAAAATACATATATTTTTTACATATATACCTCTTAATGCTAATTTATTTTCTTAGACCTGTAAAATCTCAGGTACACCAATTATTTTTGGCCGAATTTATATATAATTTTGCTAAAGGGATGTTAAAATAATCATTTGCTATAAAAAGTCACTTTTGAATGCTTAACTAATTTGAGTTGTTAGCAACTTGTTTGTAAAGGACAAATATGTCATATTCTCAAGAAGTATTGAAAATCTCTATTTCAGTAGAGCCATAATCAAATTATGGGCAATAGGTATTATAAGCAACTGCATTTATGATCCTGTGCATAGGAATAAGTACTATGAAGCGTTAACTATTGTTATTGTGCCTTTTATTTTTCTGCCATAGAACCTGGTGAAGCGCCCAAAAACTCTCCTAGCATACTGGCTATGCTAGAAACACTACAAAATGCCCCCTACCTAGAAATCCACAAAGACATGATTCGGTGGATATTAAAGGTAAAATTTCCTAGTTTGACTGCTTTTTGTGAGAAATATTAAATATTTGTTATGTATACATTGTGATAATGTTTTATACAGGATACTGATACTTTTATTTTTTTTTTTGTAGACTTTTAATGCTATTAAAAAGATGAGGGAGAGTTCACCTACCAGTCCCATGGCAGAAACAGAAGGAACCATAATGGAAGAGGTATAAAAAGTAAAGTGTGATAATACTAAAAAATTATAGCAAGTTCAGTGTGAACAAATTAAACGTATCTGCAGTAACGTGGCAGTTGATGTTACTCTCACAACATTTAAATTCCAAGAAATGTGCCACTATTTATCTCTATTTGTTGTAACTATTTTTTGTCTGCTTTTTTTCTTTAAAACTTGTTAGATCAATTTGTCTTTTCTCTTGTTTAAATAAGTGAGATTACAGAATAGTTTTTAAATTGGTATTTACAATAAAGATACTTCTGCTTTGGAAAAAAAAAGTACATTTTAGCATCTCATGGACTAATTGAATGGAGCATAATTTCAGAGTTCAAGAGACAAAGATAAAGCTGAGAGGAAGAGAAAAGCTGAGATCGCCAGATTGCGCAGAGAAAAGATCATGGCTCAGATGTCTGAAATGCAGCGGCATTTTATTGATGAAAACAAAGAACTCTTTCAGCAGACATTAGAACTGGATGCCTCAACCTCTGCTGTTCTTGATAATAGGTAAAAAAAAAAAAAAAAAAAAAAAAATTAATCTCTTGACCAATTGTTCTCCACTAGGGGCAGTGTTGCTTTTTTTCCTTGTAAGTATACTTTTAATCCTAAAGTAATTTAGTAGAATTCATAGGTAAATTTTGTGACCTCCATTTCGAAGATTTAGTCTTAGAAATCTCTGGATATAGATATGGTAATTCCTGTGTACACCTAGTTGGTATTTTCTGCAGAAGACCTTGGGCATTCATGAAAGAATGAGTACATTATACTCAGTTACCTAGATTATGTGGATCTGTGTTGCATGTTAGATTACTGTGAGGATTAAAAGAGACGGTTTTGATACAGACCAAAGACTTGACAATCCAAGTTATCAAAACCATGTGCTGAATATGTACATACCTGTGGTCTGCTATCTTATGATTCTACAGAAAGATTTTAGGCTCCTTCCGTATATTCATAACCTTTGTATTGCAGCCCTGTGGTTTCAGATATGACACTTACAGCCCTGGGCCCCACACAAACTCAGGTTCCTGAACAAAGACAATTTGTTACATGTATATTGTGTCAAGAAGAACAAGAAGTTAAAGTGGAAAGCAGGGCGATGGTCTTGGCAGCATTTGTTCAGAGATCAACTGTATTATCAAAAAACAGAAGTAAATTCATTCAAGATCCAGGTAAGTCATAGCTAGATTCTCATCTTCCCTATTAATAACAACAGCCAGTTAATATGGTTGATGATACATTGAGATTTTTTTTTAATCTTGAGAATAACTCCATTCCAATGCAAGAAAAAATTAAAAATAAAATAAAATAGAAAAAGAAAATAGCTCCATAGACTTGGGTGATGTCTTTGGCAGGTAACTTAGGCAGGAATTCCCCACTTGGCAGATGTGGAACCACTGCAGAAAGTTATATGAATCACATAGCTGATAAATAGCAGGGATTCAAAGAAAAGCTTTTCTTTGTGATATAGCATTACATACTTTGGCCTTTAACAGTCTCCCATCCTTCAGTACACTTATAAAGTCCTGGTAGTTTGTTGACACATTGAAATAATTATTTTGTCTTATTGATAGAGCCAGAGTAGAATCTCCTGAGAAAAGTGATGGAGAGTTAGCTATGTACAAGGCAATCCTTGAGCCAAATTCTGACTTAGAATAGTAATACCACCACAGATTGTGTATCTGTATATCAAAGCAGGTTCTTGAGATACAGTTAACCATGTCGAATAGTTGAGGACTCTCTTTCAGCAACTGAGGGAGTAAAACAGGGAGATCCAGACCGGACATGATTGTGTCCACCACAGACACATTTATTTCTCTGCTTGTAGGTTGTGCTCTGTATGCATACCTAGTAAACTTCTTGAGAGTAGGAACTGTGTCTTGGGAATTCCCAGAGCACTTCTTTAGCCAGTGCCTTTCACATTGCAGAGTGAAAGGAGGCTTGAGAGCATACTTGTAGAATTGTCTTCTCTGTATTATGAAAGTCTTCACACCCTACTTATGAAAGATTAGTCTGCTTCATCTTTAAAATGATCATTTGGGCTGGATGTGGTGGCTCACACCTGTGATCCCAGCACTTTGGGAGGTTAAGGCAAGTGGATCACCTAAGGTCAGAAGTTCGAGACCAGCCTGGCCAACATGGCAAAACCCTGTCTCTACTAAAAGTACAAAAAAAAAATTAGCTGAGTGTGGTGGTGTGCTCCTATAATAAAGGTGCACTTGAGAGTGTAGGCGCCCTTGAGAGGCTGAGGCACGAGAATTGCTTGAACCCAGGAGACAGCAGTTGCAGTGAGCCGGGATCGCACCACTGCCCTCCAGCCTGGGCAACAGAGCAAGACTCTGTCTTTAAAAAAAAAAAAAAAAAAAAAAACCATTATTTGAACTACATGCTTTATAAATTTCATTCCAGGCCAAAGACAAAGTTGCTAATTTTATTTAATTTGTTACTTCCTGAAGAAAAAACATTAGCTAGCTGTAAGTGGATTTTCTAAATGCTTTCACAATTTATATCATAAAAGATTTTCTTAATGCTTTGACATTTGCACCGTTCTAGTGTTAAATTAAAACTATTAAAGCAAATTAGAAGTAATTCTTTCTAGGATTATACTAGTTTATATAAAGAATTCAAAAAATTTCAAAAGAAGCCAGACATCCATTCTTTTTCTTAATTTTTCATCGCCTTTGAATATAAAAATTAGCACCAGGACAGAAGCCTCTGAATTACTTTTTTTTTTTCCCCCCATCTGATCCGGTATGTGCTTGTATTTTTTGTTGTCACTTTGGCTCTGATACGATTATTCTCTGTTTGAGTGTCGTTAGGCAGTCAGTCCTCTAGGGAGCGCTCCATTATTGCCAAAACATTTTTATTAGAGATCATTGTAATCCAGCTGCCCTGAACATAAGGGAGCCCCATGAAGAGAGTATCTCTTTTACCTTGAGCTCAGGATATAATGGAAGGAATTGGAATGTCTCAGTGCCCTGAAAGTGTGAAATGTTCAAAAGATTGGATATACTTAAATTCATAGTTCAAATTTCAGTTTACAATTTGAGAATGTTTAATTTCCTGTGGATTGTGAAAATTAAGACTCCTGCTTTCTAAATAATCCAAGGTCTTGCATAAATTATTGATATCACAGATAAAAAGGAATAAACTAGCATTTCATTTCAAATTTACAAGTCTTTATCAAAGATTTTACAATTTAAAGTTACACATTTGTTATAGGAAAAGTAAATTATTTGCTTTTTGTTTTTGTTTTGTAATGCAGAAAAATATGATCCATTATTCATGCACCCTGACTTGTCTTGTGGAACACACACTAGTAGCTGTGGGCACATTATGCATGCCCATTGTTGGCAAAGGTAATTTATATTCTTGATATTTGTCAAAAGAAGTTTATCTAAGGGCTCAACATTTTTAAAATAGAGGGAATTTTATTCTAGAAATGGGGAAAGAACTAAAATGTTGAACAAAAATTTCTATATCATTGCTTAACAAATAACAAAAGTTACTTGCCTTGTCATAGATGTAAAGTATTTTAGATATATTTTTAAATTTAGCTTTATATCCAAGTCTCTTCTTTATCTTCCAAAGAAGAAAGTAGATCTATCGGTGTCAGTCTGTGGATGAAGAAAAGGGTTTTTACAGTAGGATAAGCAATAGAAGGGTATTGTTGTCTTTCTTTGGGTCCAGGGTGGACAACTCTTGATTCCACAGATGTTAGTACTTGCTTTGTTACTTTCCAAAATTGTAATGGCTCCCTGTGATAAGATGACATAGTCCTAAATTTATTCTACCTTGGGGTTTCTGTGCTTCTACAAAACCAACAAATCAATAATACTATTACTCTAGAACTGTGCTCACCCAGGTATGAAGTACCTCTAACAAACAGCCACCACGCATGCCTGTAGTCCCACCTATGTGGGAGGTTGAGACAGGAATCACTTTAACATGGGAGGCAGAGGTTGCAATGAACCAATATCGTGCCACTGCATTCCAGCCCGGGTGACAGAGCAAGATGCCGTCTCAAAAATCAAACAAACAAAAGCGCCACCAGCCTTGGGGAAGTGGCAAGAGAACAATGGCACCAAGAAATATTTGTTGCTGCTTTGTGAATGCTTTTTTACATTGCATTCTTTTTTTTTTATTTTCTCGTTTTAGACCTTTTAATCCATTTTGATTTTTAAAATCACTCAAAAATCACTTTAAAAATAATTTAGTTTAAAATCACTCAAAAATCGTGTTAAAAATAATGATGTTAAAAGATTTTCATTTTTGAACTATTTGTGGAAACAAATTATTTAAAATGTTGGAGCTTGTGGCTGTCATTTATATAAATTACCATTGTTTTGATACCTCATGTTCTCTAATTGTAAAGGTATTTTGATTCCGTTCAAGCTAAAGAACAGCGAAGGCAACAGAGATTACGCTTACATACAAGCTATGACGTAGAAAACGGAGAATTCCTTTGCCCCCTTTGTGAATGCTTGAGTAATACTGTTATTCCTCTGCTGCTTCCTCCGAGAAATATTTTTAACAAGTAAGTTTTGGCTTATGACAACTTAGAGCAATAGTTTGCTTTGAAGATAATGAAATTATAAATCAGGGAGGAAAACCTAGTCTAGGCAATTGCATAGTGTTTTCCAGATACTTTTCCAATTTTAGTCATTTCTTCTAGCAGACCTGCGGAATATGATTCTAGTTTTTAGAGTGGAACAGGCCAAAAATTAACAGTGTCTAAGCTATAAAATTTCTGTATATTCATGAAAACTAAGTATCTGGTTTATTTCTAGGGACTCTACTTTGAATATCTCCCATACACTTTTCAAGAGATGCTCAGTAACTGGTAGGAGGAGATGGAACAGCTCAAAATGACTTTATAGGACAGTCTAAAATTTGAATAAAATTCTTTGCAATTTGCTGGCCATTCATACTTTTAAGAACCAGGCAAAAAGTGAAAATCTTCTGGTATATTTTAAATGGAAAATCTCAGCTGGGCGTTGTAGATCACATCTGTAATCCTAGCACTTTGGGAGGCCAAGGTGGGAGGATCATTCGAGCCCAGGAGGTCAAGACCAGCCTGGGCAACGTAATCTCTACAAAAAGTAAAAAGTTAGCTGGATGTAGTAGCATATGCCTATAGTCCCAGCTACTTGGGAGACCCAGGTGGGAAGCTCACTTGGGTCAAGGCTGCAGTGAGCTTTGATTATGCCATTGCACTTCAGCCTCAGTAACAGAGCAAGACCCTATCTCAGAAACAGAATAAGTGCTTGCTTCAGCAGCACATGTACTAAAATTGGAATGACACAGAGAAGATCAGCATGGCTCTTTCACAAGGATGACACGCAAATTCACGAAGTGTTCCATATTTTTAGCTCTTTTAGAATTTGTCTAGCAAACTAAAAAAAGAAAATGGAAAATTTCTTTAACTTCATAATTTTTTGGATGCTTTTAGTTAGGAGTATGGGACACAGTCATTTCAAATATGGATTTGATAATGTCTGCTATGCAAATCTGAATTTCATTTCTCAATGTAGAATTATGCTCTCTGCCTTGCATGTACAAATATTAAGTTATGTGAATATAAATGATCCATCTCTGTGTTGTTTGTTACTTGGATTTAGTTCAAAACAAAGTCAGTTTTTCCTTGTCAGTTTTAGGAGTTAAAAATTATGGTGTCTTAGTCTATGCTACCACAAAATGTTCTTCAAATATTAGTAGATTTGAGTGTAAGCTCATGCTTTTTAATTATAAAAGAATATCATGGTACTGACTTAGCTGCATTTGAACTGATAAAGAAATTAATTATAGTTAGATTGAGATTAACTGTGTATAAGAAGAAATCACCCTTCTTGGATTTCACCTGCCACTATATTGGTCCACTTTTTGATTTTTGCCCATGAGATTCTATTATGGTTTAGTCATATTTGAATACAGTCATAAAAAGAACACAGGCTTTGGAATGTGACAGAGCCAAGTTTGAATGCTAGCTTTGTCCCTTATTTGGCCTTAGTCAAGTTACATAGCTCTAAACCTCAGGTTCCTCATCTGTAAAATGGGGACAATAATACAACCTATTACAAAATATAGGAATACAACCTATACAAATAATACAGGAATACAACCTGTGCAAAAATAATACAACCTAAAACAAAATGTAAGGGTATTTTGAGGGTTAAATCTAATACCATAGGATAGTTGCAGTAAAATGATTTACTAACTGCCTGTAACATAATAAGCACATGGTAGATATTAATAGTGATGGCAATTGTGATACATAAGAAATTTTAGCAAATTCCAGTACTGAAGAGTGAGATTTTTAATACAGTGTTATTACCATCATATTGACAAATAATATATTCATTTCCATTGGCCAATATCCTGATTTTTTTTAAGGCAGCAAATTTTCCCTTATTCTTTTTGTTTTTAATATTTGGAGTGTGTCTAAAATATGCCTATGATCATTTAAGGAGTCTTTTGTATCTTAAGGAACAATAATAAAACACTAAATACTCTCTATAATCTTTTCTAGCAGGTTAAATTTTTCAGACCAACCAAATCTGACTCAGTGGATTAGAACAATATCTCAGCAAATAAAAGCATTACAGTTTCTTAGGAAAGAAGAAAGTACTCCTAGTAAGTTCTGGTAACCTGTTTTCATTTTTCCCTAAAGTTCGAGGTCATCAGAAAATGTTTTTCCAGAAGAAATTGTTTAAAAGTAAAACCTCCCATTTAAAATTTTGACTCATTCTAATTTTCCTTGTCTTAATAAACGAAATTTGACTTCACTGCATTACTCCTTATTCCTTAAACACACAAGCTCATGTGAAGTTTATAATAAACATTTCTCACTTATTCCCCCATTTTATTGAAGAGCTTCTGGAGGTGGGGGAGATGTAACTGAGCATTGCAGAGCTAGCTTTAGTTCTCGGTGAGCTAACTCACCTTACTGTTGGCATTCCCAAAGGCTTCCCAGGTTTCATAGACCATGCACGGCACTTATGACCTTGTGGGAATGTAATATGAACAGGATTTATATCACTGGTTTTCATAGAAACAGAATAGCTACTCATGTTTTTGTTGTAGTGGCTGCACTATGAGGAAAAGCCTAGATAACTGAAGAAAGGGCCTTGGTCAACTAGAGCAATAGTGTTTTCATGTTTCATATGGTTTTTATGCCAGTTTTTAGTAGAGAATTTTTTTCCTATTGTTTTTAATTTCTTTAACCTATATGACCATACTTTATAGGAATATTGTCATCTATTGAATAATGGTACAAAAATGCCTGTTTCTATAGATAATGCCTCTTCAAAGAATTCAGAAAATATGGATGAATTACAGCTCCCTGAAGGGTTCAGGCCTGATTTTCATCCTAAGTGAGTATATTATTTTATTCCTTTTAAATCTAACCCATTTGAAATAAATGATTAAGTCAGCAGTTAGGAGGAATATGATTTGGCAAGCAAGGGAGCAAAATGTTATAGGATACTGATCTTTAGTTCTAACGTTTAAGCAGAGGCTGAGACAGGATAGTGTGAGCCAGGAGGTGGGGGCTGCAGTGAGCCTTCATTGTGCCACTGCATTCCAGTCTGGGTGACAGAGTGTGACCCTGTCTCAAAAACAGCAGCAAAAAACGTTTAAGCATTACGTGATGGTATTTATTGCTGTACATTGAAAAAAATCTAAGAGCCACGTGGCATGTTTAACTCTCACCTCTTTCTCCCAGTCGGCATTGCTGACCCCCCACCACACCCCTTTCTCTACCTGGCTCTCCTTGACAACATCTAATCAGCACCACAGCTTATTAAATGTGCAACTGCGGACAAATTGCTTGACCTCTCTGTACCTCAATTCCCTCATCTGTTAAGTGAGGATAATTCATAGATGTTATTAGAATAAAGTGATATAATGTGCCTAAAGCTACCTGGAACCTGTGCCTGTTATGTACTAATTCAATAAATACAGACCTATAAGACTTGAATAGAAAATGCATCAGGCCGGGTGTGGTGGCTCACGCCTACAATCCCAGCACTTTGGGAGGCCAAGTCAGGCAGATCACTTGAGGTCAGGAATTCAAGACCAGCCTAGCCAACACAGTGAAACCCTGTCGCTATTAAAAATACAAAAATTATCTGGACGTAGTGGTGCACACTTGTAATCTCAAAGGGTGCACAGTTAATAAGCTGTGGTGCTGATTAGATGTTGTCAAGGAGAGCCAGGTAGAGAAAGGGGTGTGGTGGGGGGGTCAGCAATGCCGACTGGGAGAAAGAGGTGAGAGTTAAACATGCCACGTGGCTCTTAGATTTCTTTCAATGTACAGCAATAAATACCATCACCCTTGCAGTCAAGATGGGGGACAGCTGTCACTTCTCTTGGCCCCACTCCTCTTATTTTCTGGATTGAATGTTTTCCTCTTTCTTAAATACTTGCTCTTTTTGCAGATTCCTAAGAAAAGATACCTGGAAGATATATTTTCATGTTTGAAAATATGTTCATTTTATTCATATGCCCAGTTGATAGTTTGGGTATAGCATTATAGGTTAGAAGTAACTTTTCATCTAGATTTTGAAGCTATTATTTTACTAAATTTTATATCCATTGAGAAATTAATACCATTCTAATTCCTGTTCCTTTGTAACTATTTTTGTTTTTTGTTTGTTTTTTGAGATGGAGTCTTGCTCTGTCACCCAGGCTGGAGTGCAGTGGCAAGATCTTGGCTCACTGCAACCTCTGCCTCCCCGGGTTCAAGCGATTCTCCTGCCTCAGTCTCCTAAGTAGCTGGGACTACATGTGTGGGCCACCATGCGTGGCTAATTTTTTGTATTTTTAATAGAGACAGGGTTTCACTGTGTTAGCCGGGATGGTCTCGATCTCCTAACCTCGTGATCCCTCCACCTCCGCCTCCCAAAGTGCTGGGATTACAGGTGTGAGCAACCTCACCCGACTCTGTTTTTGTTTTTCTGAGACAGGTTCTCACTCTGTCACCCAGGATAGAGTGCAGTGGTGCGATCTCGGTTCACTGCAACCTCTGTGTCCAGGGTTCAAGCAATTCTCCTGTCTCACCCTCCTAAGTAGCTGGGATTATAAGTGTGAGCCACCACACCCAGCCACTTTTTTTAAATTTTTTTAGATATGAGTTCTGTCTACATTGTTCAGGCTGTCCTTGAACTCCTGAGCTCAAGCAATCCTCCTATCTCAGCCTCCTGAGTGGTTGGAATTACAGGCGTGAGCCACCATGCCTGGTTCCTTTGTACCTCTATTACTTCTCTTTTTTTTGAGACAGAATATCGTTCTTGTCACCCAGGATGAAGTGACAAGATCGTGCAGTGGCACAATTTCAGGTCACTGCAACCTCCACCACCCAGTTTCAAGGGATTCTCATACCTCAGCCTCCCAAGTAGATGGGACTACAGGCATGCGCCACCATGCTCCACTAATTTTTTGTATTTTTAGTAGAGACAGGGTTTTACCATGTTTGCCAGGCTATTCTCGAACTCCTGACTTCAAATGATCCACCCACCTTGGCCTCCCAAAGTGCTAGGATTACATGCATGAGCCACTGCACCCGGGCTAATAACTCTGTTACTTCTGAAAACTATTAAAATATTTCTCTTTATCTCTTTAGTGTTCTGACATTTTCTGTGATATTTCTTGCTATATGAATCTTTTTTTATTCATGTTGCTAGGCTTTTAGTACACCTATTGAATCTGAACATTCATATCCTTCATTTCTTTTTTTCTTTTTGAGATGAAGTTTCACTCTTGTTACCCCGGCTGGAGTGCAATGGCATGATCTCAGCTCACCGCAACCTCCGCCTCCTGGGTTCAAGGCATTTCTCCTGCCTCAGCCTCCCGAGTAGCTGGGATTACAGGCATGCGCCACCATGCCCAGCTAATTTTTTGTATTTTTAGTAGAGACGGGGTTTCACCATGTTGACCAGGATGGTCTCGATCTCTTAACCTCAGGATCCACCCGCCTCGGCCTCCCAAAGTGCTGGGATTACAGGTGTGAGCCACCACGCCCAGCCCCATATCCATTTCTGAGAATTTTTTATGTTGTTTCTTAAATAATGTTCTACTGGATTTTGTTCTTTGAGGTAGTTCTATTAGCTCACTGTTGGACCTATTGAACTGATACCCTAATTTCCTGTAAGTGAAACTTTCTACATTGTCTGTTTTTCCTGAGTTCTGTTTCTCTGCTTCTTTGTTTTGGTTTATCTCTTTGATGCTTTCCTTAAATGCTTATTGGTCCTTGGATAACTTAAGCCAATGAGCATAAGAATACCTGGTGGACAGATTGGAGCTTGCTGACTTGTAAGCCTCACAGTAAAGGTGCTCAGGACACGTCCAGTCTTTTACTTGGTGACCCCCAAATGTCAGTGTGTAAAAACAACTTTCCCCTGAGGATTGTTCACTGGAAAAACTAAACTCTGTGGCAGGGGGTATACACTGCTGATGTTCTCAGGATGGGAAACAGGGTCAAGGATCTCACTGTTTAGCCTGTAGACCTTTGCCCAGCACCCTGCTTTCAGCCTGTGCCTCACCCCTGCTACATCAAAGAGCCTAACTCCTCTTGGGCAGGGGCAGTTTGCATATCTCTAATCACTTTGCATACAGTTACCTCTGGATACATGTTAAGTGGTTCAATTTCAATATAGCAAGAAGCTGTTAAGAAACTGAACCATTTGATTGATATGTGCGCATTGTTCTGAGCTAATTTTACACATGTTTACTTCAGGAACCCTTATTCTGAGAGCATAAAAGAAATGCTAACGACATTTGGAACTGCTACATACAAGGTGGGACTAAAGGTTCATCCCAATGAGGAGGATCCTCGTGTTCCCATAATGTGTTGGGGTAGCTGTGCATACACCATCCAAAGCATAGGTAAGAGATTTACAGCTGTTCCTCTGTAAGTCACAAGCATTTGTTGATATGAATTATGTATAGAATCGTGTTTTTAAATGAAGTGTTTAAAGTGGGCAACAGTATGAAGAAATAATAATAAAAAGACTGAGAAGCAAGAAATGTAGTGTACTGACAAAATACTAGATTGATAGTTCATAAATTAACCACAGCAACAGAGAACTCTTGGTGGTGGTTATAGCTTCTTGTCAGTTGAAGAAATGTACTGTTCATTTTTACTCTGTAACCAAACTTAATTCTTGTGAAATGACTTTGAAGATTCTGAAACCTGACAATATTGTACTGTCTGCAGAATTGGGTTTTTTTAACCTTTTAAAACAATTATATTAAAATGTACATAACGTGAAATTTACCATTTTAACCATCTTTAATTCGTAGAAAGAATTCTGAGTGATGAAGATAAACCATTGTTTGGTCCTTTACCTTGCAGACTGGTAAGTTCTCAGTTTATTCAATTCATGAAAGGATGGAATGGAAGTTAGGTGGTTCTGCTTCTTTTAATCTCATGGACCTGCAATAGTTACTGCATGCACTTCTGTCATAGTAAAAACCCATTTTCTGTAAGGATATTGAAGAAGTAACATTTGTGGTTTAGTTTTTCTTTTAAATAAACTTCATGAGACCAGGTGCAGTGGCTCATACTTGTAATCCCAGTACGTGGGAGGCCAAGGCAGGTCACAAGATTAAGAGATCAGACCATCCTGACCAACATGGTAAAACCCTGTCTTTATTAAAAATACAAAAATTAGCTGGGCGTAGTGGCGTGCCTATAGTCCTAGCTACTTGGGAGGCTGAGGCAGGAGAATCGCATGAACCCGGGAGGTGAAGGTTGCAGTGAGCCGAGATCGCGCCACTGCACTCCAGCCTGGCAACAGAGTGAGACTCCATCTCAAAAAAATTTTTTTTAATTAATAAAATAAATAAACTTCAGGAAATAACTATACCTCTCTTTTCATTCAGAGCTCTTGGTGAAGTACTTGAAAATATGGAAAACTAAAACTAGAGTGCTTAGTCTTGAGTTTATAACACTGTAAATGGAAATATAAAACAACACACATTTAACCATCTTTTAAAAGTAACATGTATAAATAAGCACAAATTAATGTCAAACTGAGCACATTTAATGCCAAGGAAAACAAAGGAGTATACAGTCAAAGCTTGCTTGTTTTCACTTTGTAGCTAGTATCTACTAATGTCATAAACTTCCTGCTGTTTAAGCTTTCAATCATAAAAGTGCTTTTGAGGCCAGTCATAGTGGCTCTCACCTGTAAATCCCAGCACTTTGGGAGGCTAAGGAAGAAAGATGGCTTGAGCCCAGGAGTTCAAGACCATCTTGGGCAACATATTGAGACTCCATCTCTACAAAAAATTTTTTTTAAATTAGCCAGGTATGGTGGCATGCATCTGTAGTCCCAGGCACTCAGGAGGCTGAGGTGGGAGGCTCACTTGAGCCTAGGAAGTCAAGGCTACAGAGAGCTATGGTCCCATCACTGTACTCCAGCCTGGGTGACAAAGTGAGACCCTGTCTCAAAAAAAACAAAAATGCCTTTGAGAGCAAAATCATCTCATTTTATTCATGTAGAATCACCTGGAAGATTTGGGGGGATTGTTTTGTTTTTCCTCAAATAGAAGTTGTGAAGAGAGAGAGAGAGAGAGCGCGTGCGCGCGTGTGTGTGTGTGTTTAATGTCAGGCCCTGACACAGATCAGTTAAATCAGTTTTTGAAGATGGACACTAATATTTTTTAAAAGTTTCTTAGGAGTTAGGATTGAGAACCAGTGATGTAAGGACCTAACCAAGAAACAAAAACCAGTATAGAAAATAGAGTTACATGGGACAACTTATCAACTAGTTTTCTGGCTTTTGTCATTGCACACACCCAGTCTCTGGACCCTTATTTATTTATTTATTTTTAAAGCATCTCAAGGCCTTTATTGTTTCAGGACGATAGCTTCAGTATCAGACGTTCTCAGCTAGAAGTTCTGCATTAAAAATCTCTTTGGAGTTTGTAAAAAATATAGATATCTGGGCCCCTGTGGACTTACTGAACTAGAATATCTAGAGATACGGCCTGATTGCATTTTTTTTTTTTTTGAAGGAGTCTCTCTCTATTGCCCAGGCTGGAGTGCAGTGGCACAATCTCAGCTCACTGCTCACTGCAACCTCTGCCTTCTGGTTCAAAAGATTCTTCTGCCTCAGCCTCCCAAGTAGCTGGATTACAGGCATGTACCACCATGCCCAGCTAATTTTTGTATTTTTAGTAGAGACGGGATGTCACCATGTTGGCCGGGCTGGTCTCAAACTCCTGACCTCAGGTGATCCACCTGCCTCAGCCTCCCAAAGTGCTCGGATTACAGGTGTGAGCCATTGCACCCAGCCCTGAATTGCATCTTTATAGTAAATCAGCAGAATGGCAATTCATATCAGTCTTAACTATGATACGATCTATGATCAATATTGACGATGTTTTTTGCCACACTAAGAGTTAGTGTGTCGATTATTGAAAAGACAGGTATATAGCATAGAATTTTATCTAGTTTTCAAGGCAGTTTTATACATTTCTTGATTCTATATACTTCAGACTACTTTGGGATACTCTTGCTGCTACTGCATCTACTTTTTTCTATTAATATGGTTTTGTATTGATCGTTTTACATTGATTAACTTTTTCTGGTTTTTTCATTGATTAACTTTCACATGTTAAACCAATCGTGCATTCTTGAAATAATTTCAACCTGTTTATGTATATTATCCATTTTTATATATCACTGTATTTGATTTGTGATATGTTATTTTTTATTTCTTACTTTTTTTAGAGACAGGGTCTCACTGTGTTGCCCAGGCTGGTCTCAAACTTCTAGGCTCAAGGGATCCTCCCACTTAAACCTTCCAAAGTGTTGGAATTACAGACATGAGCTATTCCACACAGTCGTGTGATGTTTTGTCTAAGATTTTACACCTATGCATATAAGAGACATTGGCCTGTTTTTTTTCTTGTAAGATTTTGGCATCAAAGTTATACTGGCCTTATGAAATGCAGTCTAGGCAGGGCGCAGTGGCTGACACCTGTAACCCCAGCACTTTGGGAGGCCAAAGTAGGCAGATCACCTGAGGTCAGGAGTTCAAGACCAGTCTGGCCAACATGGTGAAACCCCATCTCTACTAGAAATACAAAAATTAGCCAGGCATGGAGGTGAGCACCTGTAATCCCAGCTACTTGGGAGGCTGAGGCAGGAGAATCATTTGAACCGAGGAGGCGGAGGTTGCAGTGAACTGAGATCGCACCATTGTACTCTAGCCTGCACAACAAGAGCGAAACTCTGTCTCAGAAAAAAATAAATAAATAAATAATAAAATGCTCTTTAAATTTTTTAATTTAATTTTTTAAAGTATATAACTATTAGGGTGAACAACTTCTGTTTTCCTGACTCCACTGTTAGGACTTATGAATAACTGCATTCACTCCTCTATCAGAGGATAAGGGATCCCATTACCCTTTCTTCCATGTGGTTTGGAAGAATGCCCATCTGTGGAATCCATCTCTTCCCCATCAGTGTCCTCTCTTCTTTCTCTCCATGCACTTCCTCTGTGGATGAGTGTGCTTAGTTATCCTCTTATTCCTGCTCTCAGCGTTGCTTCCTTCAGTCTAGCACCCTAGCTCTTTGCTTCCTTTCTTTGGCCAAGTTATTTTAAAGCATGTTTTATTTTATTTTACAGATAATCTATGTGGTGAAAAATGTTTAAATACAGATTTTAAAAGAGAAAAAGCAGTTTTTAATTTCATATCATATTTCATATTCTTAGAGAGCGAGAGAGAGAGAGAGTGTGTGTGTGTGTGTGTGTGTGTGTGTGTGTGTAATTTTACGCACACCAACAGTTCCTTTTTTTTTCTCGTTTTGGAGACAGAGTCTTACTCTGTCACCCAGGCTGGAGAGCAGTGGCACAATCTCAGCTCACTGCAACCTCTGCCTCCTGGGTTCAAGCAATTCTCCTGCCTCAGTCTCTCAAGTAGCTGGGACTACAGGTTCACGCCACCACACCTGGCTATTTTGTGTTTTTAGTAGAGACAGAGTTTCACCATCTTGGCCAGGCTGGTATTGAACTCCTGACCTCAGGTGATCTACACGCCTCAGCCTCCCAAAGTGCTGCGATTACAAGTGTGAGCCACTGCACCCAGCCTGGATACCTTATTTAGTCTGGGCATTCACATTCAGTTGGTCAGCAAAGTCTGTCAGATTCTTTCCATTCCTACTCATTTGGTTCAGCCCCATATCATTTCTTGCCTAGATTATTGTAACCGTTTTTACCGAGAGTCTCACCCTTCTCTAATACATTATCAGAGGATTTCCTCCAAAAACAACCCTAATCATATTCTTCATACTTCTACAAACTTCTTAACCTATTTCTCCATTATCACCTCCTCCCAGTTCCTACCCCTGTGGTCCAGACTTGTAGAATCACTACGAATTCCTCAATGCTAGTTCCCAAGCCTTGCATATTCCATTTCCTCTGTCAAGAATGCCCTAAGCAGACTGCTACTCTAAGATGCTGTTCAAGCTTTCCTTTCCCTGAGAAAGCCCTCCAAGCATGTACTGTGAGTTAGAGTTCTCTCGTCTGTGATGTCTGCCTCCTTCCCCACTTTCTCCCTTTCCCACCCCCAGGGTTTTAAGCTCTTTGAGAACAGGAGGAGGGAGAATTAGTTTTATTTGAAGATCTTCAGAACCAAGACCTAGTATATATAGTAGGACCTCAATTTTTTTTTTTTTTTTCGAGATGCAGTTTCGCTGTTGTTACCCAGGCTGGAGTGCAATGGCGCAATCTCGGCTCACCACAACCTCCGCCTCCTGGGTTCAGGCAATTCTCCTGCCTCAGCCTCCTGAGTAGCTGGGATTACAGGCACGCACCACCATGCCCAGCTAATTTTTCGTATTTTTAGTAGAGATGGGGTTTCACTATGTTGACCAGGATGGTCTCGATCTCTTGACCTTGTGATCCACCCGCCTCGGCCTCCCAAAGTGCTGGGATTACAGGCTTGAGCCACCGCGCCCGGCCAGGACCTCAATATTTATTGAACCACACAACATTACAGAAAATTTGGAAAATGAAAAAATAAGCAGGAAGAAAATGTCATCAACTTATCACATATCCATCTTTTTCTATTAGCATATTCATGCTTGATTACAATTGGTACTCACATGTAGCTTTGTTTCTGCCTTATTCTTTAAATCAAGAGTTTTCTTATTATTGCTTTTTAGTCCTCGTAACAGTTTTTAATCGCTCCAGGCACCCTCATTTGTGCCCCCATTTTATTGGATATGTCCAAATATCTCTTTAGGATATTCCAAATATTGGGGAAACTACATTTAGAGAGTCTCTTTAGGATACTCTACATTTTAAAGAAAAGTATCCACATTTTAGAATATCTCTGTAGGATAAACATAAGAAATATATGTTTTAGAGTATCTCTTTGGGATAAAAATAAAGAAATACTGCATCACATCTTGGCTTGTTTGTTTTTTGAGATAGAGTCTTGCTCTGTAGCCCAGGCTGGAGTACAGTGGCGCGATCTTAGCTCACTGCAACCTCCACCTCCGAGGTTCAAGCAATTCTCCTGCCTCAGCCTCTCGAGTAGGTGGGACTGCAGGTGTGCACCACCATGCCCAGCTAATTTTCTATTTTTAGTAGAGATGGGATTTCTCCATGTTGGCCAGGCTGGTCTCAAACTCCTGACCTCAGGTGATCTGCCCATCTCGGCCTCCCAAAGTGCTCCAATTACAGGTGTGAGCCACCACTCCCGGCCTGCATTTTCATCTTGAGAGTGTCTCTTATATTCTGTATTCTTTTCTAGAGAAAGCCAGCAACATGGTGGCAAAGAGATAGGTTTCATTTATTCAGCATACACTTAGACATTTCCCATTTCATTTATCCTGTGTTAGAGACATGTCATTGAGATGTCATAGATTTAGTTCCATACCATCTAGAGTAGTTTCATTGTGCATCCAGCTGTGCTCTGAACTAGCATTCCTGAAAGACAACTGCTTTATATGTTGGTTTTTTGTTAATTGTGTTGGTTTCTTTAATTCAGGATGACTGTCTTAGGTCACTGACGAGATTCGCAGCAGCACACTGGACAGTGGCATCGCTTTCAGTGGTGCAGGGACATTTTTGTAAACTTTTTGCATGTAAGTATTAATACATTTGTAATGCATGTTATGGCCATTTCTCATCCTCTGATACTTTGTTTTTAATGGTTCAGCTTCTCTCAATAATGAATTAAATATTTAGTAGTACTGGTTTTCTTATATGTAAGCTCTAGCTTATAAATTCTTACGTATCTTGCAAGAAGATAAATTTAAAGCAGATCATACGCATTTTAACATATGTTGTCATATGAAATATGCTAATGTATTTTTCTTTAAATCTCTAGCATTGGTGCCTAATGACGGCCATGAAGACCTTCCATGCATATTAGATATTGACATGTTTCATTTATTGGTGGGTATTTTGCAGTTTGTTTGAACTTCTCTGTCATATTATGTAACTTTACCTTAGGTTTGGTGAGCAGTGTAGTGACAGACAGAAAGGAGTTATCCTATGATTTCCTTACCCTTTCTGAGTATAATTCTCTTATGAGATACCTCAAAAAGAAAATATTTAGGAGCTTCGTTGAGAGACTTGACCTCATTGTCAAGACATCCTCTGTCTCTTATTTTGCTTTGTGACTGAGGTCAATGTTTTAACCTCTCTGTGCTTTTTAACCTGTAAAGAGATAAAAACACCAGCAACAGGCCGGGTGCAGTGGCTCACACCTGTAATCCAAACACTTTGCAAGGCCAAGGTGAACTTGAGGTCAGGAGTTCGAGACCAGCCTGGCCAACATGGTAAAACCCCATCTCTACTAAAAAATACAAAAAATTAGCTGAGCGTGGTGGTGCACACCTGTAATCCCAGCTACTCGGCAGGCTGAGTCAGAAGAATTGCTTGAATCCGGGAGGCGGAGGTTGCAGTGAGCAGAGATTGTGCAACTGCACTCTAGCCTGGACAATAGAGTGAGACTCTGACTCAAAAAAAAAAAAACCAGAAGCCCTGCTGCTGGCCCATACAGTGCTTTTGTACATTTTGTTGAAAATCTGGCAGATACAGCCCTGTGGTCACACTACTTAGCAGCAGACACCCCCTTGTAATTCAGGGAAAGGTACGTATGTCTTCTGAGCAGGTACATCCTGGTGCTAAGACACACAGCTATCCAAATAGTGGGTGACCAAATTTCAGCCCCACCTCAACTGGGTTCCCTTGCACAGGATACAGAGTGTGCCACCACACCCAGCAGCCCCAAGTGCTGTCTCCTTATTCTCTGGACCTTAGATTCTGCGCCTTTTAAGTTAGTTAGTGCCTACTTCATATGACTATGTGAGAGCTCAATGAGTTAATCCATGTAAAGCACTTAGAGCAATATATTCCTAATAAATGCTGGCTGTTACTGTTCTCATTGCTGCAACTAATACCACCACCGCTTATACTGCCATACAGCTAGCAAGAGGCCAACAAAGCTAAAGCCAGCATTTGTGTACCTGTCAGCTTTTACATATATTCACACTTACATCTCTACTGTTTACGTGAACATATTATGTCTACCTTACCAATAGGAAACCTGAGGCCTGATCAGAGTACATTTGTGTAAAAAAGTTCATAAGAGGAGGAGGTAGGATTCATATCTAGATCTTTGTGTGTCCAAAACCCATGTTTTTTCAAGTGCCTACTCCCTGGAAAGAGTTCAAGTATTGTCTTTATTATTATTAACAATAGCTATGTATAGAGGACCTACTGGATTAATGAAGTCATAGTGCCCACCAAGAGTCCTGTAACTCTTAAGTCTTCATAGCCAGTCCTGTTGGATTTTCTAACATGCATACCCTTTCGTTAAGAACAAAGATTTCTTAAAGGGAGAAGCTGTACTCAGGAGAGATCACAGTAAGAAAATGGAAATGTGGCTGGGTGTGGTAGCTCCTGCCTGTAATCCTAGCACTTTTGGAGGCCAGGACAGGCAGATCACCTGAGGTCAGGAGTTTGAGACCAGCCTGGCCAATGTGGTGAAACCCTGACTCTACTAAAATTCCAAAAAGTTGGGCATGATGGTGCATGCCTGTAATCCCAGCTACTTAGGAAGCTGAGACAGGAGAATCACTTGAACCCAGGAGATGGAGGTTGCAGTGAACTGAGGTTGCGCCACTGCACTCCAGCCTGGGCAACAGAGAGTCTGTCTTTAAAAAAAAAAAAAAAATCAAAACAGAAGTAAAAATAAGAAGATGGAGATGTGCTTAGCAGTGAAAGGAAGGGCGATCTGTCTGATGTCCTGTGTTTGATGCCTAGGTGGGCTTGGTGCTTGCGTTCCCTGCGTTGCAGTGTCAGGATTTTTCAGGGATCAGCCTTGGTACTGGAGACCTTCACATTTTCCATCTGGTTACTATGGCACACATCATACAGATCTTACTTACCTCATGTACAGGTAACTTGCCTTTTTGTCAGCTTCTTGAAGGAAATCCTTGAGTTTTCAGAGTTTAAGAAAAAAAGTATTAGAGGAAAATATTTGAATGAAAATAATAGATGAATTATAATTAGGCTACCTTGTTCTGTGTATCCTCATATGAAAAGTTTGAAACATTTCTTTCTCCTATTAAAATTTCCTAGTAATGTGAATGTTTCTATTTTTTTTTAATTTTATAAGTTCAGTAATGTGTAGGATAGTAATTAAATTGTTTAGAATCTTATGTTTTAGATTGCCAGTTTTGTTTTAACTTACATTTGTTAATGCCCACATGAGTTCATCATTAAATTATGTTTTGCATTCAAAATTCCTGTTTTTCGTATACTTTAAGACAGTATGTTTATTTGGTTTTATTTAAAACATGCCAGCTGGCTGTTTGGTTTGAGGGAGATCAGTACTGTGCTCCCACTTGAGGGATGAAAATTTTGCGTGTTTTCTGGGAACATTTCATGTTACATGTGAGTTTATGTATATATTTGCGTGCTTACTGTCTTCAGTCCTTTTGACAACACTTAACTGGAAAATGCAGAGTACTAGTATTTCCTTACTTTTCAGAAGAGAATGGCATGGATCAAGAAAATCCCACTTGTGAAGAAGAATCAGCAGTTCTTGCTTTGTATAAAGCACTTCACCAGTATACGGGAAGGTGAGTTATCTTTACATAATAACACATTTCCCTAAATGTTGCTAGATGATGATAGCATAAGAAAGGAATTCGTTTGTTAATTCGGGGAAATTGTTGTCTGTTGACATATTTTTAAAAAAAGATGTGGAGTGATCTGCAGGACTTGTCTGAGCTATTCATATACTAACATAATTGGAAATCTGGGAGAAAGGTGATAATATTCAGAGCTTCCCACATTTATTTGGCTGTGGAACCCTTCATTTGCTCAGAGGATCTGACAGACTAGAGGCTAAATCAAATGTACTTTGGAAAGTTGCTGTTCTACGACTTATGTTGTCTCATTGGGAATGGGAATTTAAAACTGCAAATTAAATTGGCATAATTTGTTTTTAAGGTAATATTCAGTAGTGGCAGGAGTAAAATGAAATTATTAGAATTTCATGTATGGTTAGTCATGATTTGCTACAAATAGCAATTCAGTGGTTTGCTTAGCTTTCAATAGTGTATGTCAAGAACTTGTAGGCTGGGTGTGGTGGCTCACACCTGTAATCCCAGCACTTTGGGAGGCTGAGGCAGGTAGACCACAAGGTCAGGAGCTTGAGGCCAGCCTGGTCAATATGGTGAAACTCTGTCTCTACTAAAAATACAAAAATTAGCTGGCTGTGGTGGCAGGCATCTGTAGTCCCAGCTACTCAGGAGGCTGAGGCAGAAGGATCACTTGAACCTGGGAGGCAGAGGTTGCAGTGAGCCAAGATTATGCCACTGCACTCCAGCCTGGGTGACAGAGCAAGACGCTGTCTCAAAAAAAAAAAAAATCTATAAAGTTAGGAATTATTAAAATATCCATTTTTTGACTAAATTATCCAATTTCTGAGAACCTACAGTAACAAAATAATTCAGCATACAGAAAAAAAAAAACCATATAGGCATATAAAGATGGACACTCCAGCCAGGCACCATGGCTCAAGACTTTAGTCCGGCAGATTGCTTGAGCCTAGGCATTCAAGACCAGCCTGGCCAACATGGCGAAACAAAAAATACAAAAATTAGCCGGGCATGATGGCATGTGCCTGTAGTCCCATCTTCTCAGGAAGTTGAAGTAGCCAGATCACCCAGGGAAGCGAAAGCTGCAGTGAGTCATCGTCTCACCACTGCACTCCAGACTGGACAACAGAGTGAGAGCCTGTCTCAAAAAGAAAAAGATACACACTCTGAAGTTATCTATATTAACAAAGAATTGAAAGCAGTCTAAGTGTTTGCAGGTGAATAGTTTGATATAGATAGTGATGGATATGTTCCAAAATATTACAAATCTATTTAAAATGTGGCTTATAGAAGCTGGGTGCAGTGGCATGTCCTGTAGTCCCAGCTGCTCGAGAGGCTGAGGTGGGAGGATTGCTTGAGCCCAGTAGTTTGAGTCCATCCTAGACAACTTTTCATTTTCCACATTTTCTCTTTACGTGACTATATTACTTTTTTGTTGTTGTTTGTTTGTTTGTTTGTTTTTTTGAGAAGGAGTTTTGCTCTTGTTACCCAGGCTGGAGTGCAATGGCACGATCTCAGCTCACCGCAACTTCCGCCTCCTGGGTTCAGGCAATTCTCCTGCCTCAGCCTCCTGAGTAGCTGGGATTACAGGCACGCACCACCATGCCCAGCTAATTTTTTGTATTTTTAGTAGAGATGGGGTTTCACCATGTTGACCAGGATGGTCTCGATCTCTTGACCTCGTGATCCACCCGCCTCAGCCTCCCAAAGTGCTGGGATTACAGGCTTGAGCCACCGCGCCCGGCCCTACTTTTATAAATTTTAGTAACAGCATTGGAGGCTGTGTCACCACTTATACCTGGAATCCTACAGTAACATGCCACCACTTGCTTATTAACCCACTCTTTTTAAACATATGTGCCATCAGTTCCAAATGACCGTCAACTCTGTTTTCACACTATGCTATTAGTACAGTGACCTTTTCTTGTAGATTTCCCAGTAGTCATCTTTTTTCTTTTTTAGTGCCTTGAAAGAAATACCATCGGGCTGGCATCTGTGGAGGAGTGTCAGAGCTGGAATCATGCCTTTCCTGAAGTGTTCTGCTTTGTTTTTTCATTACTTAAATGGAGTTCCTTCCCCACCCGATATTCAAGGTAATTTATACTTTCTTTCAAAATGTAGAGACAGTTTGTAATCCTTTACTCCAGCAAATATAAAGATCACTTGCAAAAATGAAAATTGACTAAAAGTTCAAAGCATAGCTAATTGACTATGGTGATGTACACATTTATAGAATAAAACGTATGTTTATGTATATGTCTCCTTTTGTTTGGATCTCAGTAAATGACTATTAAACTTCTGTGTAAATGTTTTTACACCTGCAAAGCACTTCTTCCAAAAAGATCTTAGTTTTGTTTTCAGATGTTAAAATATACAATTATATATTATTCATAAACAAGCCTTCTCAGATTTGAAAAGGTGAAAAACTGACAATTTCAAGTGATTTTTAACTTGAAACATGCATAGTGTTAAAATTTAGAATACCTGTAATTAATTGCACATAAATCTGATTTTAATGTGAGAATTGATTTGCTCTTTCATAGGTGTTTTCCATGTTCTGTTTTCATTCATTTCATAAAGGTGGACTTGACTGTATCTCTGTATTCTCATGGTGCCTGGCCCTGGCCATACAGCGCCTGGATGCAGTGCTGTTCTCTGAAAGTGTGTCGACTGGCATTTCCATTCAGTTAGTTGCCCAGGAATCATATAAAGAGTTTAGTCTTCCAGATTATTTGCAGTGCTGATTAGAGTTGGTATTTAAATCCAGGTCTCATGGTAAAACTGTCTGGTATTTGTGTCTTGCTTGGTCCTTTTCCAGAACCCCCATACATTATTTTTATCATTTAATGTTCACAATCTACTGCACAAACCCTGTGCAGTAGATTGGCAGGCACACCATTTTACAAATGATAAAGCTGAGACACCAAGACATTAGGACCAGTTTGGTGTAGGAGTCGCCTGACTGCACTCTATGCATTGTGCCATTTTCCATGGATTCCTTCCACATGCCATTCTGTTAACTTCCTACAGGTTATGTACATGGCAGATTTGAATTCTTTCATCCTTTTTTTTTAAGCTCTGCTGTTGCTTAACTCTCATGAGGAACATGCTCTTAGTTGTTATATGCACTCTTTTGTTCTTCATTTGCAGTTCCTGGAACAAGCCATTTTGAACATTTATGTAACTATCTTTCCCTACCAAGCAACCTCATTTGCCTTTTTCAAGAAAATAGTGAGATAATGAATTCACTGATTGAAAGGTAATGATTATACACTTTTCTTCATTGTATTAAATAGTTCTATGGAACCAAACTTTAGTTATCACATTCGTAGCAAAATTCTCAAATAGTGACTCTGATAGAATTCAACACAAATAACTCAAGCTGTAATAAGTAAGTTTTTTTTGTTTTTTGTTTTTTTTTTTAAGACAGAGTCTTGCTCTGTCACCCAGGCTGGAGTGCAGTGGTGCAATCTCGGCTCAGTGCAACCTCCAACCTCCGTCTCCTGGGTTCAAGCAATCCTCCTGCCTCAGCTTCCTGAGTAGCTAGGATTGCAGGCATACATCACCACACCTGGCTAATTTTTTTTTTGTATTTTTAGTAGAGATGTGGTTTTACCATGTTGGTCAGGCTGGTCTTGACCTCAAATGATCCACCCACCTCAGCCTCCCAAAGTGCTGGGATTACAGACGTGAGCCACTGCACCTGGCCTATGAGTAGGCCCTTTTTAGCTAAGGATCTGGCTTTTCAGTAAAATTTTGGCCAAGCTAGTGAATAGCATAAACAAATATCCATGGAAGGGGAATAGTGGTAGAAATGTTTATTTCCTTACATGAACTTACTTGTTAAGGACTTTCTTCCATAGGTTTTTTGTTTTTAAAAGATAGAGTTTTGCCATTTTTTTCCTGCCTTTGAACTCCTGGGCTGAGATAGTCTTCCCTCCTCAGCCTCCCTCCTGAGTAGCTGGGACTACAGACACATGCCATCACACTCAGCTTTTCATAGATTTTTAAAGCTGAGAAAACACTTAATGCTAGCTAGTCCAGTACCCTCAACTTTATGTTTGAGAAAACTGTGAAGTCTACAGAAATTGGCCTGTCAATCATGTCAAGTTAGTGACTGAGTTAAATATATGGCTGTTTTGTCCACAAAATGGGGGAAAATATTTGCAAACCATATATATAAGGGACTGATATCCAGAATAGGCTAGGCACAGTGGCTCACCCCTGTAATCCCAGCACTTTGGGAGGCAGAGGTGGAAGAATCACTTGAGCCCAGCAGTTCAAGACCAGCGTGGGTAACATGGCAAGAACCCCACCTCTACAAAAAATTCAAAAATTAGCCAGGCATGGTGATGTGCACCTGTCAGGAGACTGAAGTGGGAGGATCATTTGAGCCCTGGATTTCGAGGCTACAATGAGCTGTGTGCCACTCCACTATAGCCTGGATGACAGATCAAGACCTGTATCAAAAAAAAAAAAATCCAGACTATATGTATCCATAATTCCTACAACTTGACAACAACAACAAAAGATTAAAAAATAGGCAAAGGACTCGAATAGGTATTTCTCCAAAGAAGATAAGCTAATAGCCAAAAAAGCACATGAAGAGATGCTCAACATCACTAGTCACAGCAGAAATCACAGTAAGATACCACTTCACACCCATTAGATGGGCCATTATTTTTTTTAAATAAAGAAAATAACGAGTGTTAACAAGGATATGGAAAAATTGGTATCTTTGTGCATGGGTTATGGAAAATGATAGAGCCACTATGGAAAACAGCATGACAGTTCCTCAAAAAGATAAACATAAAATTACCTTATGATCCAGTAATTCCACCTTTTAGGCACAGATTACAAAATAACTGAAAGCAGGAATTCAGACCCACATTATTATACACCCACATTTTCAGCAGCATTATTCACAGTAGCAGAAAGGTGTAAACAACCCAGATGTCCATCAACAGATGAATGGAAGCAAAAAATGTGGCGTGTGAACATACACATAATGGAATATTATTTAGCCTTAAAAGTAGGTCAGGTGTGGTGGCACATGCCTGTAGTCCCAGCTACTCAAGAGGCTGGGGCAGGAGAATTGCTTGAACCTGGGAGGTGGAGGTTGCAGTGAGCCAAGATTGCACCACTGCACTCCAGCCTGAGTGACAGAGCAAGACTGTCTCAGAAAAGTAAATTCTTATACATGCTACAACATGGATGAACCTTGAGGATGTGTGCTAAGTGAAATAAGCGAGTCACAAAAGGATACATACTGTATGATTCCACTTCAGTGAGGTACCTAGAGCAGTCAGATTCCTACAAACAGAAAGAAAGATGGTGGCAGCCAGGGACTGGGAGAAGGAATTTCACATTTAATGAGTACCGAGTTTCAGTTGAGAAAGATGAAGCAGTTCTGGAAATGAATAGTGGTGCTGGTTGCACAATATGAATGTACTTAGTGCTACAGAACATTCGACTTGCAAGTAGATAACATGGTCATTTTAATGTTACATGTATTTTTCCACATGTGTCATCTTTGTCACCCAGGCTTGAGTGCAGTGGCACAGTCACAGCTAATCCTCCTGGGCTCAAGCAGTCCTCCCACCTCAGCTTCCCAAGTAGCTGGGAACTACAGGCACGTGCCACCACACCCAGCTAGTTTTTGTATTTTTTGTAGAGAAGGGCTTTTGCCATGTTGCCCAGGCTGGTCTCGAACTCCTGGGCCCAGGTAATCTTTAATCTTCCTGCCTCAGCCTCCCAAAGTGCAAGGATTACAGGTGTGAGCAACTGGCCAAAAAAGTTTTATTTTTAATATGAATGTTCTAGCTCCCGATAATGTTAACTTGGCATTAATATAGATTAATATAGACTAGTTTTTCTAGAGTATCCAAATTAGTAAGATAATGATGTTTATAGCTACAAATTTTAATATATTAAGCATTCTTACTTTTAGAAAATATTCTCCTGATTTTAAAGGTTGTAGTCAAAATAGTATTTCTCCAGGTTTCTTTTGATGAAGTAAATATGTTAAGAATATTATTTTCCTCTTATTGGCCACGGAGGGGAAAAAATTCTAGTTCTAACCCTTTAAAAGTAAAAGTGTGTTGTGTTTTTCCCCCTCTGTTTACATTAAAGTTGGTGTCATAACAGTGAAGTTAAAAGATATCTAGAAGGTGAAAGAGATGCTATAAGGTAAGTTAAAGATCCTCAAAAACTTGATGGGGTGGGAGAAAGGGTGGAATCAGGACATAAATGCTGTATTCCTTCAGTAACTGACTTCTCAAGCCTTCAGTGATTCCAAAAGTTTAAGATATCTTGCACATACACACACACACTCACACACATGTATTTTTTTTTTTAAGACAGAGTTTCGCTCTTGTTACCCAGGCTGGAGTGCAATGGCGTGATCTCGGCTCACCGCAACCTCCGCCTCCTGGGTTCAGGCAATTCTCCTGCCTCAGCCTCCTGAGTAGCTGGGATTACAGACACGCGCCACCATGCCCAGCTAATTTTTTGTATTTTTAGTAGAGACGGGGTTTCACCATATTGACCAGGATGGTCTCGATCTCTTAACCTCGTGATCCACCCGCCTCGGCCTCCCAAAGTGCTGGGGTTACAGGCATGAGCCACCGTGCCCAGCATTTTTTTCTTAATCTAATGATGAGAGTCTGTGAAAGTCAGAACTATGAACATAAATATACTACATTATTCTTGGCAGAAGAAGCAAATAACCAAGTTATTATATTTTGGAATATTTGCTCTAAGAAACTATAAAGCATCACCTAGGTTTCTCTTAGCTCTATTTTTTTTTTTCTATCTTTCATTATGGGAAAGCTCTCCAGAAGTATGAAGAGTGAAATAATGAGGCTCCACATGCTTGTCACTCACCTTCAGTAACTGTCAGTCACATCATGGCCAGTCACTTCTTAATCATTGTTTCTTCTTCATTTCTTTTTACATTAATTCTATTCTGATTCTGTAGTAAAGTATGCTCTACCAGATCCTAGCAGAATGTGTCTCAACTGTTGTTATACAGGTCAAGCATCTCTAATCCAAATATCTGAAATTCAGAATGTTCCCATGAGCATTCCTTTGAGCTCCATGTTGGCACTCAAAAAGTTTCCAGCCGGGCGCTGTGGCTCACGCCTATAATCCAAGCACTTTGGGAGGCCGAGGTGGGCAGATCACCTGAGGCTCAAGGCCAGCCTGGCCATCATGGTGAAACCCCATCTTTAAAAAAAAAAAAAATATTTTCAATTCTGGAGCATTTCAGATTGCAGGTTTTAAGATTAGAGATACTCAACCTGGATTAACAATTGAGATGCATCTGTTATGATATGGTACAGCGTGCTTTACTACAGAATCCAAATAAAAGTAATGCACATATTCCAAACTCCAACAAGATTCAAAACCCAAAGCACTTTGGATAATGGATACTCAACCTCTATCTCCTGGTTCTGGTAAAAATACATCACCCATAAAAGTCAGAAGACTAGAGGAGATGATCTGTCCTATTTGTTACTTTTACACATCCAGAAATAACACCCTAAGTTTCTAGTTGGACCACATGAAATGTCCATTTTTATAAGTCAGAAATGGTTGAATATCACCAATTTCATGTGATTCCACCCTGACCTCAGAAAACTCTTAATAAATGGAACAATAATCCTCAACCAGAAGTATACATCAGAATAACCTTGGGAACTTTTAAAAAAATACTCAGGCCACTACCTACTGAATTGTAATTTCTCTAAAGTTGGAGCCCTAGCGTGTCTATCCCTTCAAAATTCCCCCAAGTGATTTTGATGTGATTAAGAATTACTGTCTAAAATAATCCACCCTTCAGTTTAACTCCATTTCTCATCTTGGCAGTAGATAAAGTAGTGAAAGGCCCCACTGTGTTACCCGGTCTAGGCAGGTGTGTGCACATGAAGTGCCTCATAATATAATATGACCTAAATTAATGGAGCGTTTTTTAATTTTTCCCTTGTTTTCAGATATCCAAGAGAATCTAACAAATTAATAAACCTTCCAGAGGATTACAGCAGCCTCATTAATCAAGCATCCAATTTCTCGTAAGTTTTGCTATTAGCATTGAACATTCCCTGCCACTGGAAACACATCTCTGCCAAGCATTTGAAGGATTTTGTTGTTGTTCTTTGTTTTGTTTGGGTAGAAAAATCATAACATCATAGTACTTTATGAGAGGAGGGGAAGGAGAAAAAGGGGGGAAAAAAAAGAAACTTGGCCAGGCTTGGTGGCTCATACCTGTAATCCCAGCACTTTGGGAAGCCAAGGTGGGTGGATCACCTGAGGTCAGGAGTTTGAGACCAGCCTGGCCAACATGGTGAAACCGCATCTTTTCTAAAAATACAAAATTAGCCAGACGTGGTAGTGGGCACCTGTAATTACAGCCACTCAGGAGACTGAGGCAGGAGAATCATTTGAATCCAGGAAGCAGTGGTTGCAGTGAGCCAAGATCGAGCTATTGCACTCCAGCCTGGGTGACAAGATCAAAGAGCAAAACTCCATCTCAAAAAAAAAAAAAGAAAGAATAACATCTGTAGTACTCTGTACTGTGTAACTTATAAAAGCATCATTTCATTATGTTTCAGAATAAGTCATGGAATGGGAGCAAGAGAAGCAAATTTGATTCATGAATGTTTATCTACATAATAATTTGTGCTTAAAATAATAACATCCCTTAGTAATTTTGTTTTGTTTTGTTTTTTGAGACCAAGGCTTGCTCTGTCGCCCAGGGATGGAGTGCAGTAGTGCAATCTTCGCTCACTGCAACCTCCACCTCCCAGATTTTAGTGATTCTCCTACCTCAGCCTTCTGAGTAGCTGGGCTTACAGGCACACACCACAATGCTCAGCTAATTTTGTATTTTTAGTAGAGACAGGATTTCACCATGTTGGCCAGGCTGGTCTCAAACTCACCGTCACCTTCCAGAGTGCTGGGATTACAGGCGTAAGCCACTGCACCCAGGAGTAATGTTTAATACAGTATTGAATATTTAACATACAAGCAGCATGAAGAAGAATATAATATGGGAGGCGGAGGTGGGAGGATCACTTGAGCCCAGGAGGTGGAGGCTGCAGTTAGCCATGATGGTGCCACTGCACTCCAGCCTGGGTGACAGGGAGACCTTGTCTCAAGAAAAAAACAAGAATGTAACAATGTAAGAACTTAAACATTACCTAGACAGTTGAAGCCCCCCAGCTGTATCTTCTTTGTTGTCTCTTCCCCCTCCCCCTGAAGATACCTATTATTCTAAATGGAATATTAAGCAGTCCATTCCTATACATTAACTACATAGGTTTCTATTCCGAAGCAGCATCTATTATTATTCTGCATGTTTTTGTTTTTTTGTTTTTGTTTTTTTCTGAGATGGAGTTTTTCTTGTTGCCCAGGCTAGAGTGCGGTGGTGTGATCTTGGATCACAGCAACCTCTGCCTCCCAGGTTCAAGCGATTCTCCTATCTCAGCTGTCCAAGTAGCTGGGACTACAGGTGCACACCACCATGCCTGGCTAATTTTAGTAGAGAAGGGGTGTCACCATATTGGTCAGGCTAGCCTTGAACTCCTGACATGCCTTGACCTCCCAAAGGACTGGGATTGTAGGTGCGAGCCATGGCACCCAACCGATTTTGCATTCATTCAGCATTGTTTCTAAGATTTGTCTGTGTTGACATGTCTAACTTTATTGATTTTTCACTGCTCTATAGTATTTTATTGTATGACAGTGGCACCATTTATCTTTTTCTTCTATTGATGATTTTATTTTTTTCTCCAGTTGTTGATTCTTTGACTGTTCCCAGCACGTGGTCTTTGTGTATATGTGCAGGGTGTCCTGTTCCCTATTCTAGGAATAAATTGGCATAGACTATAGGATATACGCCTCTTTGGCTCTACTTGACACTGCAGAATTCTTTTCTGGGCTGTTTTTTTCATCACTAGCTCTTTAGCCACTCTTTAGAGCAATGACTCATGGGTTTTTTGTCCCTTAAAGGTGCCCCAAATCAGGTGGTGATAAGAGCAGAGCCCCAACTCTGTGCCTTGTGTGTGGATCACTGCTGTGCTCCCAGAGTTACTGCTGCCAGACTGAACTGGAAGGGGAGGATGTAGGAGCCTGCACAGCTCACACCTACTCCTGCGGCTCTGGAGTGGGCATCTTCTTGAGGTAAGGACCTGCAGGGGGCTTTTTAGCTTTGGGTCTGCCTCAGTATCTGACTGTTGAAGTGTCACAAGAAACTACTATATTGCCACGAATTTTGAGACCACTCTTCTGTGTTTGATTTATTGGAGAAATATGGAGATACTCGTCTCCTCAAATCTCACATTTGGCCCTTGCCAACTCTGTGTTGGTTCTTTTATTATCATTCCCATTCCTCTGCCCCCCACCCCAGGCAACGGTTCTGTTCCAGTTTCTTCATGTCTCCCTCCAACATGAAACTTCCCTGATTTTCTGTCCAATCCAGTCAGAATTATTTTATCTATTATGTCTTCATGGCTTTTGGATTTTACCTCCATTCATATATATTATCACAGTTCTGCATGTCAGCTTGTGATTAGTGACTGCTATGTACTAGGCATTGAGAATGCAGTCGTCCACAGTGCAGACAAAGGTCTCTGCCCTCATGGATGGAGCTCATTTTCTAATGAGAGAGAAGATAAGCAAGACTGACAAGACTTTAGGTAGATAGTAGTATAGGCTAAGGAGAAAAATAAAGCCGGGAGGGGAATATGAAATGGCGGCTGTGGAGCTAAATGTGAGATTTAATTTTAGTAGATCAGGGAAGAGCATGACTTCTGAGTAAAGACCTAAAGAAGTGGGAGAGCATTCCAGGCAGGGAGGGGCTAGTACACAGTTGCTGGGGTAGAAATGTGCCTGTGCCTGCCTGCTCAAGGCAAGGAGGCTCGTGTCACTGGAGTGTTGTGCACAAGGGAAAGAATCTGGGGGCCTGCTGTGTGCTGGTGACATCTCTGGGGAAGTGGAAGCCATTTCAGGGTTTGAAGTAGTGACATGACATGAGCGTGAGCTCCTCTGGAGCATTGATCGTATCTGTATTTTAGTCATCACCCCAGTACCCTGACAAGTTCTTATACGTAGTAGATCCTCAATCAATATTTGTTTAATTGAGCTGAACTATTAACGCCAGAAACAGGCAAGTCTCTCAAAGGGATCAGGGGACACAAAAATGTGTCTCAATTCAACCTAATTCCTAATTTGCCCACAATTTTTTAATGGATAACTTTTATATAGTGGTTAAGGTATCAGTTCTGTAAGACTTCATTCTGTTTGGAACTGAATACAGACATTGGTTACTAATGTGTAACTCTGTAATGTATGAATGATCTCTCTACAGAGTACGGGAATGTCAGGTGCTATTTTTAGCTGGCAAAACCAAAGGCTGTTTTTATTCTCCTCCTTACCTTGATGACTATGGGGAGACCGACCAGGGACTCAGGTAAGGACCCATCCTGAGTTAGCTGATTCAAGGCCTGCAAAGCCCTTCAGTACGTGGTGACATCCTGAGGGCGGAGGGCTGAGGTGGTTCTGGAAGAGGTGGTTGTGTTACCTGTGGAGTCTTCAAGGAGGGTGCCCTGCTGCCTGGTTTGGTGTTCTTTTCCTGGCCTTCAGAATGCCACAAGGAACATCAGGTTAAGTAAGGGAAGAGAACAGGACAGAGTGCAACCTTACTCCATTTATCACTCCAAGGAACTGGTTTGAATTGCCAACTTTTTATCCCAGCTCAGAGCACTCCAGGGATGGCCCACTCTGACTTGTGTGGCCTTGTATAGGGGAGGCCCAATGTCTGAGAAAATCTGAATCGCTAACAAATGTGCTTCTTACATTAAAATCTGGGGGACAAAGATTTAAAACATATGGAAGAATATAACAATATTTGAGGCTAAGTTACTTCTGCTCTGGTAGCTTTTGTATATTGTAAGCTAGCAACAATTCCCTCAAGTACTACTAAAGAACTTCTTTTAGACCATCTCTTTTGTCTAAAGGAGGTATAAGTTTTAACCTCCATAGATATGCATGTCCGGCCTTGAGTAGCAGATGTTGAAGGCCCAGAAACCCAAGCAAGGTAAGCAGATGAGCTGCCCCAGGCGCTGGACTGCAAGGCTATGCCCATGTGCCACCCAGTGCTGGTGTCTCCCACTGTTCTCGGTGTGGGCTGTTAGGAGGAGGAGAGCCCTGTTAGTGAGTGAGAGGATGGCTGTGCTCAGAACCAGGAGCAGAGGTGCGCTCAGGGCCCTGGTCCCAGGCAGGAACCCACCAAAGCTTGTACTTGTGTTTAAATTGGACCTGGAAGTTATTCACATTTGATTGCTTCACTGAGACTTTGTGGCTGAAAGATTGCATCTGAGAAATGTTTCTTCTTTCCTTTCCTTTCCTTTCCTTTGCACTCTTAGCAAAATCAATGAGTAACATTTGTATTTGTATAATTCTTCTTTTGCCCTCTCCTCTATGCCCTTTCCTTTTTACATGTTACCAACAAAATGGACAAATATTGGTAATTTTTGCCGCTCAACCCAGACCCTCCTCATTCCCCACAACCCTCTATTCCCTTACTCACTCTGGGTAAGTATGGTTTGTGTACCTTTCCCTCCTCTTTTCAGCACTTACTCCCTTTTACCTGTTCTTGGCAAACGGTCAGAGCTGATATTTTTGTTCATAGCCACAGTCGCCTGCCAGACCAAAATTTTGCAGGGAGTCTAAAACCAAGAACTTGTAACCTTCCCTAAATCAGGAAGGGTTGGGTTATAATAGATGGATAAACAGAACACATTCTGACTGACATGTGTCTTCTTTCTAGACGGGGAAATCCTTTACATTTATGCAACGAGCGATTCAAGAAGATTCAGAAGCTCTGGCACCAACACAGTGTCACCGAGGAAATTGGACGCGCACAGGAAGCCAATCAGACACTGGCTGGCATTGACTGGCAACATTTATAATTATTGCACCACCAAAAAACACAATCTTGGAATTTTTTTTAACCCAGTTGGCTTTTTAAGAAAGAAGGTCTGGCCGGGCGTAGAGGCTCACACCTGTAATCCCAGCCCTTTGGGAGGCCAAGGCGGGCGGATCACGAGGTGTCAGGAGTTCGAGACCAGCCTGACCAACATGGTGAAACCCCGTCTCTAGTAAAAATACAAAAATAAACTGGGCGTGGGGGTGTGTGCCTGTAATCCCAGCTACGCAGGAGCCTGAGGCCGGAGAATCCCTTGAACCCGGGAGGCAGAGGTTGCAGTGAGCCAAGGTTGCGACACTGCACTCCAGCCTGGGCGACAGAACGAGACTCTGTCAAAAAACAAAAAAAAGTTCTGCCGAATTTGGAAATAAACTCTTTATTTAAACTTTCCTTCACAGTTTTATAGTTTCTAGCTCTGAGGACTGATGAAAATCATCTTCCATCAGCAGATTTTCTTGCACTGTTTACTGTGCCCCGCAAACATAACGTCTCGGGTTTTAAGATCGAGCGAGGAGCTTCTCTTCCTAGATTGGATCCCAGCCCCTTTATGGGCATCTGACTGCGTAGTCCCAGCCATTCTGTGATATTTCACGTTACTGATAATGGTGAACTGTGGGTCTGAAGCTGATTCAACAGAGGCAGGAAGCAAAGTCTCTAGGGTCGTACTTCCTGGTTCCTCTCAGTGACTCAACTCTGGGACTGGGTTGGTGTCCCCTCTGCGGACAGGACCCTAACCCCTAGGAGCATAGTGGTTGATTTTCAAGGCAGTGCTCCCATCTCTCCATTGACTGTGAGAGCTGGGGAACACTCATGCAGAAGCAGCCTGTGGGGAGAAGTGGCTTCCTAGTGTGCTGGCTGATTTTTCAGGGCTGTTGAATTTTTTTTTTCTTTTCTTTTTTTTTTTTTTATGGCAAGACTTTTGGCTTTGAGGAAAAAAAAAAAAAAAAAACCTCAAAGGGCTTTCCAAAAACTTAGGACAGTCTAAAAAATTAGGATATTCTTCTAGAATTAGTAAGAAAAATTAGGATAATGTGGATTTAAAAAATAGGATATTCTTTTAGAATATCCTAATGCCTAGATGAGAGGCCTTCATTCATAAGATCTGGTTGTTTGGGCTGTGGTTGGCATAGTTAATGTTTATTTTGGCCTCTGTCACATCCAGTTCCTTTAGATTTTAAGGTAAGCTGCTTTGGCTTTCTTTCAGATGTTCGCCAAGCTGAAGTCATAGTAGCAGGATATTCTAAAAGAGTATTCTAATTTCCTAACCATGTTCTTTTCGAATATCCTAATGTTTCAGACAGTACTTTTCTCTTGTTATTTCTAAGGCTAAATTGGCAGAGTATATCATCTAAAGTCAAACACCAAAAAAGGTGAGAACCCACTCCCACCCAGCCAGCATTTCCTGGAACAGAAACTGCTGCTTCCTTGCTGGCTCACTTAGTGCATTGCTGGGATGCTCTATGCACCCAGGCTTTTGATTCTTTTTGAACATTGTTTTTACTGAGGTGCCTTCCTAGAACAATAGCCACTTACAAAATAGCTTGTAATTATTATGTACCACACAGCTACTACCATTTGATATATGACTTCTGAGAGCTTGAATACATGCAGAGTGAAGACTTAGTGAGGAATAAATTCTGAGCCTAAGATGGGACTAAGGAACAAATGAGTAATTAGAGGCTCTTAGATTTTATAACCAATGCAAGTGACTCTTTCAATCAGTTTTCTCTGAATTACATCTACAGGTTTTGTTCCACTCAGCTACCAGCTAGGCATGCTCCACAGTAAAGCAGGAAGGTCAGAAATCTAGACCCGAGGCTAAAATAAGTGAGGATATAGAAGCCACATCCCCCTCCAAGGTAGTGTGTGAAGGAACTTTCCCCACTCGAGAGGAGGATGACAGTCACCATTCTTGCTTGGGACTGACACCCAGCTGAGAGGAGGACCAGTAGGAAGAAAATTCACATTTGAAAAAGGTGGCTCTCCCCCTTTTTCTGGCCTTCATACATAAGATCTGGTTGTTTAGGCTGTAGGTGGCATAATGTTTATTTTGGCCTCTGTCACATCCAGTTTCTTTAGCTTTTAAGGTAAGCTTCTTTTGGCTTTTTTTCATGTGTTCACCAAGCTTAAATTTAAAATAATAAGATCAGGTTTCTCTCTATATAAGTGGATTATAAACATTTTCACCACATCATAGCAATACTCCAGCTTTCCGGCCCGACTTCACAGAAACCTGGAGTTAGCAGAGGCTGTCTCTGGATTTCATTCTCTGAGAATATCCGAGAGCCTAGGAGAGGATGAATTTCATGAAATAGCAACACACACATTGTTTTATTTTCTGGTGTTAAGCTAGTTGGTCTTTCCTACCTAACAAATCATGTCAGTTTTATGATTTGTTCCGCATGTTTTGTGTTTATGTTAGAAATGTTTATATAACATGCTTTCCATATCAGGGAAAATCATCTGTTTAATAAATTGGCTATAACTTTAATATCTGTGGACAACTTGTAAAATTTGGAATGTATCATATGTAAAAAGTTTAAAGATATCCAAATAAATGCTTTAGGTGTTGGCATTACTTTTGGTTAGCATATATCTTTGTTTCATTTTACACACTTAACTGCCACAGCAGTGTGCCCCATGTCACCTTGCTACAAATATAGTTAGAGATCTGTATTAGCTTGAAATTTAAGAGGCTTATATTATTAGTGGCAATTATGGCCATTAGCCAAACTATCTTGACCTTCCCAGAGAAAGTGTGATCAATTGAGCTGACTAAGTTTCATATTCATTAGCTATGACAGCTCGTAGACCTTTCTGGACCATTTTGGAACTCAAATCACTGGGAACAGGGAACTCTAAGACCTACGTCTGGATTTAAACTCTTGCTCATCCTGACCTGGTGATCTCGAGGTCCTTGTCCTTATACACTCCCCACTTTCTGCTGTTGAGAGAAACACATAGGAAGGCAGCTACACTGTCAAGGGGAATCGTTGCCCATGAGAATTCTGTTTTTCGAAATCCTCTTCAGAGCGTCAAACTAAAAGAGCAAGGTTTCCATTTTACTTGCCCTGCCTCCTGGTCATTAACGCTGCTCCCAGCCTACTCCCTTCACTAGTCTTCTCTTTAGTTCCAGGAACTCTTGAAGCCCCTCCAACACCCTCCTCCCTCAGTTCCTACTCTTGGTTTTGGTGTGGTGGGGTGTGGTGTGGTGTGTGTGTATGTGGTGTGGTTGTGTGTGGTGTGGTGTGTATGTGGTGTGGTTGTGTGTGGTGTGGTGTGTGTGGTGTGGTGTGTGTGTGGTGTGGTGTGTATGTGGTGTGGTTGTGTGTGGTGTGGTTTGCTTTGAAGAGACAGGGTCTTGCTCTGTCCCCCAGGCTGGAGTGCAGTGGTGCTAGTATCACTAAAGAACTCAGGAACTCATGAAGCCCCTTCTGACACACTCCTTCCTCTGTTCCTACTCTTGGCTTGGTATTTTTTTAAAGACGGTCTTGTTTCGATCCCCAGGCTGGAGTGCAGTGGCGCAGCCTTGGTTCACTGCAGTCTCAGCCTTCTGGGCTTGAGCAATCCGCCCACCTCAGCCTCCCTAGTAGCTGGTACTACAGGCACGTGCCACCACACCTGGCTACGTTTTGTAATTTTTTTTGTAAACAGGGTTACACTATGTTGCCCAGGCTGGTCTCAAACTCTTGGGCTCAAATGATTCTCCCGCCTCAGCCTCCCAAAGTGCTAGGATTACAGGTGTGAGCCACTGTGCCTGACCTGTTCCTACTCTTATTTTTTTAAGTCACATTTATTGAGGTATATTTTACAAACAGATTATTTTTAGTGTACAGTTTTATACATTTTAACAAATGCATACAGTTTAACAACCACAATGAAGAAATAGAACAATTCCATCATCCCCAAAAGTTCCCTTTGTAGCGAGCTTCTTGCCTCATTCCGGCTTCTGGCTACCAGTGTTTTTCTCTCCCTTGTTTTGCCCCTTCCAGAACGTTATATAAATGGCATCATATCGTATGTAGCATTCCGTGTCTGGCTCCTCTCACTAAAGAACGAATTTGAGTCCTCCATGTTGTTCTTTGGGTTGCTGAGTAGTATTCCTTTGTATAGACTTCCATGCAGTTGCCAGGTGAAGGGCATTTGGGTGAGTTTTGGTGATTGTTTTGGTGATTACTGCCACAAACATTCATGGAGAGGTTTTTGTGCAAACCTGAATGTTCACTTCCCTTGAGTAAATAGCTAGAAGTTGTCCCTTATATCTTAATCCTCCACTTGCCGCCATCCTTAGAGCTCAGCATTCTCTAATCTCTAACTTTGCTGTTTACACTCCTCTGTGATGGACAGGATAAAATGCTGTCAGGAGTTAAGGACTGACATGTTTCCCCTTCCAATCTATCCACTGAGACCTGGGAAGGCACCTCTGTCTTCCCTGGAGCTTCATAGTATTTCACAGACACATTTCCCTTCCTTACTCAGTGCAGCTGGCTGCTGCGCTGTCATTGAGAGCCATCTTTTTAGCCAGTAGTGGATGAAAAGCCCCAGGTCCACGACTGCCCCTGGCTAAGCTGCAAACCTGCTGGCCTGGCATAACAGGTGCCCAGACGAGGAGGGGCAGGGGAGCGTGCAGAGCAGCACCTAATCTTATTAACCCATATTGAGGTTACTCAGGGTTTATTTGCTGGCAGCTCAGCCCTGGGCTTGAAGCATGTTGTAAAGAAGCTGTGGGTTCTGGAACTGAGGCCACAAATTCTAGGACACACAACTTCCCAAATATTCAGGATAGCCAACACCTGTTCCTTCACTATGGAGTGAGCATTTTAAAAATGGAAGTCCTAAGGCCCTGTCTTTACTCCTTACCCCATCCCAGGGCTATGCTGGCAGAACTTTAAAAGCTGGCTGGGGCCAGGTGTGGTGGCTCACTCCTGCAGGCAGATCTAAGGTCAGGAGTTCGAGACCAGCTTGGTGGCAAACACCTGTAATCCCAGCTACTAGGGAGGCTGAGGCAGGAAAATCACTTGAACCCAGGAGGCGGAAGTTGCAGTGAGCTGAGATCATGTCATTGCACTCCAACTTGGGCAAAAAGAGCAAAATTCCATATCAAAAAAAAAAAAAGCTGACTGGGTCTCTCGGGAGAAAAGAATTTACACACAAGCAAAAACCTGATAGTAGAGACTTCCTGGGCACTAGTAGGTGACCAAAAGGGATGGGCCAGGTTTCTCTGGCAACTACCTGGCTACCTGAGAAGACCTGTTAAAAGCAGTTAACCCTAAGTCTGCTCTGAACCAATGAGTGAGCTTTATGGTAGGGTCAATGCACTCTTGGTTTTCTCAACAACCTTCAGAGTCTAGGTTGCTTACATTTGCCCCCTGTAACCTGGCCCCATAGAGATTCATATTTCCAGCCGGATGTGGTGGCTCACGCCTGTAGTCCTAGCACTTTAGGAGGCCGAGGCGAGTGGATCACGAGATCAGGAGTTTGAGACCAGTCTGGTCAACGTAGTGAAACCCCATCTCTTAAAAAAAAGTAAAAGGAGAAGGAGACTCATATTTCCTTGTTTGAGGAAATACATTTCGGGCAGAGCAGAAGAAAAAATGGTTCGGAGTTTTGCCTAAATTACTATATTAAAATTTCATGTATTAAGTTCAGCTCTGGTTCAAACTCTAGGAAATGCTGAGATTATTTGGATATTACAATAGTCACTGCTATAGTAGTCACTGTTTTTTTTTTTTTTTTGAGATGGAGTTTCACTCGTTACCCAGGCTGGAGTGCAATGGCACAATCTCGGCTCACCGCAACCTCCGCCTCCTGGGTTTAGGCAATTCTCCTGCCTCAGCCTCCTGAGTAGCTGGGATTACAGGCACGCACCACCATGCCCAGCTAATTTTTTGTATTTTTAGTAGAGACGGGGTTTCACTATGTTGACCAGGATGGTCTCGCTCTCTTGACCTCGTGATCCACCCGTCTCGGCCTCCCAAAGTGCTGGGATTACAGGCTTGAGCCACCGCGCCCGGCCAGTAGTCACTGTTCTTACAGGTAAGAGATGGCAAGATGGAGAGATGTGATGCCCAAGCCATGTTTAAAACAGTGATCATTACCAATGCTTCCCTTTAGGGCGGGTTTCTCTTCTTTTTTGGCAAATATTAGCTATAGTCAGGGATTCTGCGATATATGTTGTTGAATGGGCTTAAACAGTCATTTAACAAAAGTAATTTTCATACAGTGTGATTTTTAATATCTATTGACAGCTATTCACAGCATAATTACACGTGTGGGCCTAGAGCACTTTCACCATGGTTCTCAGCACTCTTGAGAGGCGGGGAGAGCTCAGGGACCTTTGCCAAAGATGGCCGGCTCAGGATTTTTTCAGTGTGGATCATTCCTTGGCCTCAACAAGATTCAGAAATCGAATTAAACTTGGGACCAGCCTCTGACAGGGTGTCCAGATATCTTGGATCTGGTCTTCTGCTTGGGAGAATTAAGCCGAGAACATACCCCAGGCAACACCAGAAGTCTTAGTTTCTCTACACTAAAGTTGTTAGGACAACAAAGAACCCAAACGCAGTCCAAAGTAACCTATTCCCAAACAGCATCAGTCAGAAGCAGAGGTAAATTATGGGCTGTTCCCTTTCCGTTTTTTGCCTTCTGGCTTCGGTCTCCAGCCAGGTAGGCATGAGCTCTCTTAAATGTTCATCCAACTGGCGGAATTATGGTGGGCCCTGCCTTGGTCTGGTCACCAGGGCCTGGGAAGCCATTCTTTCCTTCCCCTGAAAGCTTCTCTTTCCTAAAGGAAGTGAAAACGCCTGTATTTGCTAGCTCGGGAAGATGGGCTGATTCTTCAGCCCATCAGATTCTATCTCAAAGAATCTCCTTTGATGCAGAAGCATTCCAGAAATAGTGTTTTTCAAGGTGGGTATCTGGGAGGAAGAAAGAGAAGAAGTTCCCAGAGGATTCCTTGCCCTTTGCTGTGGACAATTAGGGTGTTCATGGGGTTGTCATGGCCACCTGTGTGGGTGTCCCTGGGTCCACCGAGAGCTGAGGCCTGGTCTCCAAAGGGTGGACTCATGTCTGATTTTTGCTCCTCTTCCATAGCAGGGCAGCAGCCTACACCAGTGCTTCCACAGATGAGCCACAGGAGATCACCCGGCACGTTGGGGTAGTGTGGGGCTGGGACACGCCAACAGCCTGACTTCCTCAACCCATGGTTCACTCCAGACTCAGGGACTGAGGGCATGTGAATGGGACAAAAAAGCAGGCCTTTCACTGTGTTTTTGGGTGGGGGAAATAATCTCCTGCCTTAAAATTCTCTTGCTCCATGATTGAAGAATTCCTGTTTAGAGCCCTCAGTGCTTTCAGAATCCATTACTCTTAGAAAAGTGTAACTTTCCCCCAACTTCTGGCATTAAGCAAACAAAATGGCCAACCTGTCAATCTTGGCATTAAAAAAAAAAAAAGACAGCATGGCCATTTATTTTTCAGATTTCTGTGCTTATGCACCAAGTGACACTTTGGATGTAGACTGAAGCAACATGGAGCTCATAAGAGGCTAACTCTAAAGGAGAGCAGCCCTCGGATACGGCCACTGGCCCATAGTGGGGGACAAATCTGATTGACGCCCCTGAGTCACCAGGAGGGCATATCCTAGGGCAGTGGGTGTGAGGGGAGCTCATTCATTCACATTTTGGGTCAGTCATTCAACAACTGTTTGTCAAATGCTTTGAGGGACCCTAAACTTAAATTCCACCATCAAGGAGAGGTGGTATATAAGATGATGCCCTAAGATGGTGCCCTCCTTGGGAGATTCAGACTTTCAGAGTTGGATGAAGGGGAGATCCGTGTTTCTTGGAGTCCACTATTTCTCAGTGTTCAGGTAGGGAGGGGCCTCGGGGCCCTCAGCTAGCCTCTGGGGCCTGGCCTGCATCTGTGCCCTCAGCTTCCACCTGGTTGCCCTTGCCCAGCTTCTTCACACTCTCCAGAAAGGCCTTCCAGGTCTCGGGCACGCTCTTCTCCAGCAGCCAGCCCTCGCTCTCGCTCTCGGGTTCCTCAGGATTGGACACACCGTTCAGCGACGTCTGCAGGTAGCGCAGCCCAATTGTAATGGTGACCTGTGGCGGGAGAGGAGGTTTAGAGGCAATCTGGGAGAATCGCTGGGAGCTGGACTATTAGGAAACCACAGGCGCCTCAAAATGAGTGTCCCAGAGAGGACTGGACCTGAGCACTGTGGAATGTGGGCTGGGGACAGACTGCTCCACGCCGCCCTGCCCTCAGTGCCCAACACACCTGACTCTTCTCCAGCCTCATCTCAGACCCCTCTCCTCCTCCCTTTCCAGCCAACCTGGGCTGATTTGGATTCGCCCATTCCCAGTGCTTTCTCCCCTCCAGGTCTTCAGCATCTGCTATGCTCTCTGCCTAGAACCTTGTTCCTCTCCATGTTCATCTGTTGATTCATCTTCAGCCCTTGGTGAGCTCCCCAGCAGCTCATTCTCCCTCCCCACCCCTCAGGTCACCCCATCCCAGGTGTATTATTCCTGGGTTCCTTCACCTCGGTCCCCTCCACACCCCATTGCTTGGCGCATATTAAGTGGTTCAGTAACTTCTTTGGGCGGAATTAAGAGGTCACCTCCTTTTCTGCATCTGATGTGTGGTACTTCCTTTTTTTTTTTTTTTTTTTTTTGAAACAAGTCTCTCTCTGTCACCCAGACTGGAAAGCAGTGGCATAGTCTTGGCTCACTGCAAACTCTGTCTCCTGTATTCAAGGAATTCTCATGCCTCAGCCTCTCGAATAACTGGGATTACAGGCACCCACCACCACACCTGGCTAATTTTGTATTTTGTTGTTGTTGTAGATATGTGGTTTCCCCATGTTGACCAGGCTGGTCTCAAACTGCTGGCCTCAACAGATCCACCTGCCTCAGCCTCCCTAAGTGCTGAGATGGTAGGTGGGAGCCACTGTGCCCGCCCCTTCCATTATTTTAATGAGCACTGTGATGAATGGATGCTGGTACAATAATTTGAATTTGTTCACTAGCATTTACTGTGTGACAGACTTGGTGCCAAAATGCCTGGGTTTAAACCCAGCCCTGGCACTTAGCCAGCCGTGTGACCGGAAACCTCACTTTATTCATCTGGTTTGCAGATTTTCAGAGGAAATGGCCCCTGCCTTGTGTGGATGCTGTGACACTTCAGTATATGTAAAACACTGGCCGAGTGCAGTGGCTCACACCTGTAATCCTAGCACTTTGGGAGGCCGAGGCGGGCAGATTGCCTGAGTTCAGGGGTTTGACTATCCTGGGCAACACGGTGAAACCTGTTTGTATTTTGTCTCTACTAAAATACAAAAAAAAAAAAAAAAAATGGGGGAGGTGGTGAGGAGGAAAACAAAACAATTAGCCAGGCTGTGGCAGGCACCTGGAGTCCCAGCTACTCCGGAGGCTGAGGCAGGAGAATCACGAACCCAGGAGGCGCAGGTTGCAGTGAGCCAAGATAGCGCCACTGCACTCCCAGCCTGGGCGACAGAGCGAGACTCTGTCTCAAAAAACAAATGTGTAAAACACACAGGCCAGGTGCAAAGGTGCATGCCTGTAATCCCAGCACTTTGGGAGGCCGAGGCAGGGGGAGGATTGCTTGAGCTCAGGAGTTGGAGACCAGGCGGGGCAACATAGCAAGACCTCACCTCTACTAAAAATAAATAAAATAAAATAAATCGCTGGGCATGGCAGCCCATGCCTGTAGTCCCAGCTACTCGGGTATTCAAGTGGCCCAGATGGGACCATCTCATGAACCCTGGAGATGGAGGCTGCAGTGAGCCATGATTACACCATTGCACTCCAGCAAACACCACCACAGTACCTGATGCACAGTAAAGACCAACAGAAGAGTTAGCTGTAGCTGAGTTAATGATTAATCAATTGTTTTCTATTTTCTTTTCTTTTTTTTTTTTGAGGCAAAGTCTTGCTCTTGTCCCCCACGCTGGAGTGCAATGGTACGATCTCAGCTCACTACAATCTGTGCCTCCCGGGTTCCAGTGATTCTCCTGCCTCAGCCTCTCGAGAAGCTGGAATTACAGGAGCCTGCCACCACACCCAGCTAATTTTTGTATTTTTAGTAGAGATGGGGTTTCAACATGTTGACCAGGCTGGTCCTGAACTCCTGACCTCAGGTGATCCGCCCGCCTCGGCCTCTCAAAGTGCTGGGATTATAGGCGTGAGCCACTGCATCTGGCCTGTTTTCACTTTTCTATAATATATTCCGTTAGCCACTTGTTTCTACACAAATTCCTGGTTTGCTCTCCTCCACTTCTCTGTATGGCATAGCAAACTCTACAAGAGAAGGAAGCTGCTCCCTGAAGGCACGGATGGCCCTTACTCACCTAGCTCATCCAGAATCCCAGCACCTAGAACAGTACCAGGTAGGGGGAGGGCATGGATGTGTAGAAACAAGTGGCTAAAGGTGTGAGCCCTGCTGACTTCTTTTATGCTTTCGGTCTTCTTTTCGTGTGTTTTCAGGGAATGTGGACATCTAAACTTCCAGCAGTATATTCCTCTCCTCATTCTACCCACCCAAGACTCTGTGTCAAAGAGTCAGTGGTTATGAATATGCTGTGTTTGCCTCAACACTAAAAGAAAGCTTTGGCCGGGTGCTGTGGCTCACGCCTGTAATCCCAGCACTTTGGGAAGCAAAGCAGGCAGATCACCTGAGGTCAGGAGTTCGAGACCAGCCTGGCCAACCTGGTGAAACCCCATCTCTACTAAAAATACAAAAATTAGCTTGGCGTGATGTCAGGCGCCTATAACCCTAGCTACTCGGGAGGCTGAGGCAGGAGAATTGATTGAACCCAGGAGATGGAGGTCGCTGTGAACTGAGATCGTGCCATTGCACTCCAGCCTGGGCAACAAGAGCAAAACTTCATCTCAAAAAAAAGAAGCCTTCCTGGACATCCACGCTTTAGTTTAATGTGGTGAGTTAGAGCAGTGTTTATCAGTCACAGGCAGGATACACTGGCTGATAGCGTTAGGACGGCGACTCATTTAAAGGAATCTTTGGGAATCTCCTCAATGGACCTCTGTACATTGGCATTTTGGAGTTTGGCTTTTCTGCTGTCACAGTAGCTCAAAGCAGGTGCCCTGAGTCCCTGTGCCACCTTATTTACTAAGAAACAGGCTCTCATTCAACACCTAGAGCAGTGCCTGGCATACGGGTACGTGTTTAAGAAATATCTCTGGCCGGTGTGGTCTTCATGCCTGTAATCCCAGCACTTTGGGAGGCCAAGGCGGGCAGATCGCTGGAGGTCAAGAGTTCAAGACCAACCTGGCCAACATAGTGAAACCCCATGTCTACTAAAAATACAAAAATTAGCTGGGCGTGGTAGCACACGCCTATAATCCCAGCTACTCAGGAGGCTGAAACAGGAGAATTGCTTGAACCTTGCAGGCTGACGTTACAGGCTGAGATTGTGCCATTGCACTCCAGATTGCGTGGCAGAGCAAGATTTCATCTAAAAAAAAAAAGAAGAAAAAAGAATTATCTCTTGGCCAGGTGCAGTGGCACACACCTGTAATCCCAGCACTTTAGGGGACCAAGGTGGGAGTATTGCTTGAAGCCAGGAGTTAGCAGCCTGGGCAACATAGCGAGACCTCGTTTCTACAAAAGACTCTACAGAGTATGACTCAGGGTGTGCTATTCTGCATGTGCCTATAGTCTTAGCTACTCAGAAGGCCGAGGTGGGAAGAGCCCTTGAGCCCAGGAGTTCAAACCTCTAGTGAGCTACGATCACACCACTGCACCCCAGACAGGGCCACAGGGTGAGTTTTGTTCCTTGTCTCTAAAAAAAAATAACAATAAAAAATAAATATCTCTTTAACCGAGGAGCGAATTCAGCATAACTCACTGAGGACTTGCTCACATTGCAAGCCCTATAGATACAGAGGAATTAAGCATTGCAGAGAAGATGAAGCCACACATAATTAGACTGACAGGCAAATGGTGACTGGCATCTCAAAAAGCACGAATCCACAGTTCCCATTTCCTGAACCCCTCACATGCGGACACATTGCCTCCCAATAGTCCCCAAAGCTACGTGCTGTCACCTCTTATAACAGAGAGGTTAAAACTTTCTACGACCTCAGAACCAAAAAGCAGGGACACGGGATGAACCTCCGAAACATGCTAACTAAAAGAAGCCAAACAGGCCGGGAGCGGTGGCTCACACCTGCAACCCTAGCACTCTGGGAGGCGGAGACGGGTGGATCACGAGGTCAGAAGATCGAGACCATCCTAGCTAATACGGTGAAACCCCGTCTCTACTAAAAATACAAAAAATGGTAGCATGCGCCTGTAATCCCAGCTACTTGGGAGGGTGAGGCAGGAGAATTGCTTAAACCCAGAAGGTGGAGGTTGCAGTGAGCCGAGATCACGCCATTGCTTTCCAGCCTGGACAACAGAGCAAGACTCCATCTCAAAAGAAAAAAAAAAAAGCAGCAGCAGCAAAACATAAAAGGCTACCTGTTGTATGAATTCATTTATACGAAATATCCAAAATACACAAATCCAGAGAATGGTTGCCAGGGACTAGGGGGCAGTTTGGGAGGTGGTAACTGCTTCACGGGTGTGAGATTTTCTTGGGGGCTGATGGAAATCTTTTGGAAGTAGGTAGAGACGGTTGCACAGCATTGTGAATCAACTAAATGACACCAAATTATTTGCCATTTATAAAGCTCACCTCAATTTTTAAAAATTTTGTAAGTGGTGGGAAAGAAACCAAAAAATAAATAAATACATGAATAAATAAATACAAAAGGTGGAGGCAGTGGGTGGGGTTCAAGCCCTCCCTCCTTGGGTTTCCAAGGAAGGAGACAAGTGCTCCAGGCCTAGCCCCCATTAGACCCAAATGGCTCCCTCGCCTATCACCCCCAGCTGGCCCAGGGCTTACCTCAAAGAGCCAAATGAGGAGCGTGACAATACCCATGGAGTTCATGAGGCTGCTGTAGTAGGTCAGCAGGGCAGCCCTGCAGCCGCGCACCCACAGGTTGAGCTCCTCCGTCTGGTGGTCGTAACTGTAGTGTGCTGAGTTGTTGGTGATCTGATACTGGATGCAGGGCCGCGGTGAGCTAGGATTGCAGCAGCTGAAGGGGACACCGTCCACCAGGTACCGCCCGTCCACGTTGCTCTTGATTCGACTGGAAGGGAAACAGGCAGCTGGAGATGGACTTCCTGGGCTTCTCACCAGGGCCACTTCCTCCCATCCTCTGCCTCTGGAATCCTAGGATAGTCATTCACTCATTCACTTGCACGCTTGCTGTATATCTGCTGTGCTCCTGCTATATGCCAGCTGCTGTTCTGGGCGCTGAAGATAGAGCAGTGAATAAATGCCCCTGCCTTCCTCAACCTTATGGTCTAGAGGGTTGAGGCAGATGGTAATCCAAGACCCAAGTCAAGACGGAATATAGAAATTCACCCCACCACTCTGTGCTGCCAGGCCCTTTCTTGGGGTCATGCCAGGTGGGTAGAAGGAGCAGCAGTTCGGGTGGTGTTAATGGTTGAGCATCTGGCTGCCAACAGTGATGCCCACAGCTCCCTCACCAACCTTATCTCCCCCTTACAGGTCACTGGCAGCCAAGGCCCCCTCCAGCCAGCTGTTTCAGAAGGCCTGCTCCAGCCCAGGGCCTGCGCAGAGGCAGGGGTTGGAGACCCAAGGCAAGAACAATCCTTGCCCTGCAGGACTCCGCCCCCAGCCAGGTGGGAGCACTCGACTCACCTGAGGGACACAGCTGCCGGCAGGTTCTCCAGGCTGACGGGCAGGGCTCCCAGCATATCTTCTGCACTGCTATATTTTTGTGTATATTTGTTTCGAGCTTACCATACATTCACATGTGTTTAGAATTCCTAAGGGATCTTTACGGTGAAAAGTCTCCCCTTACCCCAGGCAGGCTGGGTATGTTCTACCTGACCTAGGTGTGACTACCCAGGTGTTTTATATGTCAAAACTCACTGAGCTGCACACTTAAGATTTATGCATTTGGCTGGGCATGGCGGCTCATGTCTGTAATCCCAGCACTTTGGGAGGCCGAAGCAGAAGGATCGCTTGATCCCAGGAGTTCGAGGCAGCAGTGAGCTATGATCACACCACTGCACTCAGCCTGAGCAACAGAACAAGACTCTGTCTCAAAAAAAATTAAAAATTAAAAAAAGATTTGTGCATTTGACTGTGTGCTTGTCATCTAAATAAAAAGTTGCATGTAGGCCAGGCATGGTGGCTCACACCTGTAATCCCTGTACTTTCAGAGGCCCTGGTGGGCAGATGATCTGAGGCCAGGAGTTTGAAGCCAGTCTGGGCAACATGGTGAAATCTCGTCTCTACAATTAATAAAATACAAAAAAATTAGCTGGGCATTGTGACACACACCTGTAGTCCCAGCTACTTGGAAGGCTGAGACACAAGATCTCTTGAACCCAAGAGGCAGAGCTTGCAGTGAGCCAAAACTGAGCCGCTGCTGCACTCTTAACTCCAGCCTGGGTTAGAGTGACTCTGTCTCAAAAAAAAAAGTTGCATGTGAACAATGCATTAGGTAGTTGACTTTTAGAACAGAAGAATAGAAAGCATAATTGTTTCCAATAGAGATTATTTTAAACAATGTTCACTGAAATGGTAATGAATCTCTTAAAAGATGTCCAAGTTTCATTTCTAAATAAAATCGCTTTAATGCAAAATGCCTCCCACTCCTCATCTCTCGCCTCCAGGTCCTCACAGCTGTGGCCAGCTCTACCAGAGAGGCTTCACACATGGACAAACAAACATGTTTTGATTTTTCCTGGTTTTTTTTTTAACTGCAAATGAGAACATATATACACACTGTCTTGAACCTTTCTTTTTTCCCGTAGCAATATCTTGGAGATCTTTTTTTGGCAGGGGCAGGGGATGGAGTCTTGCTCTGTGGTGTGCCACCACACCCAGCTAATTTTTGTATTTTTAGTAGAGACAAGGTTTTGTCATGTTGGCCAGGTTGGTCTCAAACTCCTGACCTCAAGTGATCTGCCTGCCTCAGCCTCCCAAAATGCTAGGATTACAGGTGTGAGCCACCACACCAGCTGAGACCTTTTCTTATCTGTCAGTGGAGAGTGTCCTGGATTTTTTTTTTTTTTAAATGAGCTGCATGATATTCCCATTGTGTGGATGGCCCGTGGGTCCTAGCCAGTTCCATACTGATGGAGGTTTTGGGTGTTTCCCAGTCTCTTGTTAATACAAACATGGAAATCAATCATTTTGCATATTGTGACTACATAGAGCAGGTAAATTCCTTGAAGAGGGATCCTTGCATCAAAGGGCGATCTTGCCAGATACCTGCCATATTTCTCCTCCGCTCTTTCCTGCCGGGATTGGGGGGTTCACAATCACACCCCAACCAGCCATGTTCAGGAGAACCCGTCCTCCACAGCTACATCCACACAGGTCAGACTTTTGATCTTTGCCAACCTGATCTTTGAAAAATGGTAACTCAGGGTTGTCTTCATTTCCATTTTTCTCATTATGAGAAAAGTTGAGCATCTTTGGATGTGCTCAAGGGCCATTTGTGGTTCCGTTTCTATGAACTGTGTTGATTTCTGTCTATTATGATTAAGACTTTCTAGGAGGGCTGCAAGAGGTGGCCTGAGTCATGGCAACCACGTTTCCACATGCCCTGTAATCCCTGCCCTCTACTTCGTGGGCAGAACACACTGCCCAGAGACCAGCTGACCCTGGGTGGCATGGACAGCAAAGGTCGGTGATAAGAGCAGGACAGCCTGGGCTTACTCTTGGCTCGCCCACATGCCAGCTCCATCCCTCTGGACAAGTTCCTTAACCTCTCCCTGCCTCTGCTTCCTTATATTTAAAAGAAAATTGACATGGGATTGCATAAGTGTTGCTTGAAGAGTGCTGGTATTAATACATAATAGCCATGTGCTGTGGGCAAAATCTACCTCACCAGGCAAGTGGCCAAGCAAAGCCCTCAGGGGCGGTGCTCTGAGCAGGTGGGAGCCGACATCAGGTTGTGAGGACAGAGCCGGCCACACAATATCATCTCACAGGAAAGCCCTCACTGGGGAGTTGGCGGCACAGGTTCTACCAGCTGTGGGGAAGAAGCTGTCAGCTCCTTGAGGGCAGGATGGTGAGGGGCACCCTCCGTGGTGGGCCCCACATGGAGCGCCTGCCAGCTGGCACTGCCTACCCCCCACTCAAGGCCCTGCTCCAGCCACGTGCGTGGGGAAGGTAGAAACTGTCTTGCTCAGCTGTCCCTCTGCAACCCCTGCCTGGGCACCGGGCTGCTCCCCTCTGGAGGGACCAGTAGCCCCGGACACAACTGAGCAGAGGTCATCTCTGCAACACTCCCTCCCTCCTGCTCCCAAGACCTTCCCCAAAGTGCCCTCCTCAAGGCTGGGTGCCTTCCAACCCAAATGCTCTCTGTCCCTCTTCCTGACCTGCAGGCTGATCCTGAGCCTTCCCCTCCACACAGTGGCCCCGCTGAGCCATTTCCAGCGTCCTGTGGACAGGGTGGGGGTAGTTGAGAGCACACCACTGAGTCCTCTGCATGTGTTTGGGAGTCACGGAGCTTAAACTCTGTGGATCTGTGTGAACTGGGAGTGATCTCAGCTGCCTCTCAGGGGCCCTGGGGGATGTAAATGAGATGATTCATGTCATGCATTTGACGCAGGCTGGACGTGCTGTAGTCCCTCAGAAAATGTTGCCTCCCCTCCCCTTTAGAGCCACTGGACAGGACCTTGAAAACCATCTGACTGTCCTACAGAGGAACAAGTGGGGCCCAGAGGAGGGCAAGGCGTCACCCAAAGCCTCACAAGAAGTCGGGGTCTGGCCCACGGCAGCTGCCCACTGGTTCCATTGGAGTTCCCCGCCTCCCTCGTCCCTCCCAACTTGACCTTTAGTTCACTCACTCACTCAATAAACATTTGCTGTGTGCCTGCCACGTGCCAGCCACTGTTCTAGGTGTAAAGACAGCGCAGTGAATCAATGCCCCTGCCTTCCTCCATCTTATGATCTAGAGGGTTGAGGCAGATGGTAATCCAAGACCCGCCAGGGTCTTTCTTGAGGCCATGCCAGGCAGGTAGGAGGAGCAGCAGTTAGGCAGTGTTGATGGACCAGCATCTGGCTGCCGCGGGTGACCCCACCCCCACCTCAGCATCTCCCCCTTACAGGTCACTGGTGGCCAAGGCCCCCTCCAGACAGCTGTTTCCAGAAGGCCTGGAAGCTAAACTTCCTGGAAAACTTTGAGTCCCTCCCCCTGTCCTGGGAGTCCTTTCCTCGCCGCCACCTCCCCTCACATACCTACCAGGTGGCCCTAAGGTGGGGCACACCCTGCACACCTGCCTCATGCACACTAAGGTGTCTGATGTGATGGTCAGGCCTAAAGCTGTGTGGGCTGAAGCCAGCAGAGGCTCTGAGGTGCCCTCAGTCTGCAGGCTGGCCTTGCGGACAGTCCCCATGTCCCTACCTCGCCTGCCTAATCCCCTAGACAAGTCACCCTACTGGGCTCCACAGGCTGTGTCTCCCTCTGACTGGGACTCCCTGAGAATGGGGCTGCATCTCCCCCAGACTGGGAACTTTCCCAGGGGAGCATCCAGGTCAGTCCCGCTGGGGAAAAGCCAACCTTGGTGAACTTGGGACTTGCTGGGGTCACCAGCCTGGGAATCCTTGGGGTCTTCACTTCTGGAGCTATCCCTCCCCCACTTCAAACATCATCTTGTTTACTCAGTGCTTGCCCTCATTCCAACCACAGATTAAGGCTCCTCTCACCCTCTTAAGACAAAGCCAGGCAGAGGAGAGCGCCTTAGTGGCGAGCTGGCTATTTATATCACAGCGTGTTTCCCAGGCTACGAATTTCACTCTGTGTGGAAGGGGCCAGGGGCAGTGGGGGAGGAGTCACTGGGGTTTGAAAGGGCGTTGATTAAGGTAGGGCCTCTGTTCTAGGCTACTGTCCCACAACCAAGGCACATAGAGCCCGGGAAAATGATCACATCTGAGTTTTCCGGGAAAAACCAACATAATTTAGTAAGTGAATCAAATCAGTAAGGCCAGCCATAGGGCAATGAGCAGGGGTATACCTGACAGTGGGTCACCGAAAGCAGAACAGAGGCTGAGGGACTCCTGTGAGACGTTGGGAACGGCCCTGGCCTCTCTGAGCCTGAG